GGTTTAGGGTTTAGGGTTTAGGGTTGCGGTTTAGGGTTTAGGGTTTAGGGTTACGGTTTAGGGTTTAGGGTTTAGGGTTTAGGGTGACTTAGCTACGTAGGATATAAATGAAGATGCTGAAAAAGACCCCTGATATTAAAACCCATTTCAGGGAAATGCAACTTTCAAGTTTGGGGGGAGGTATAACCGGGGGAAACGCGTTAATAAATGTGTGTGTGTGTATGCATGTATGTATGTATGTACGTACGTACGTACGTAGGTAGGTAGGTATGTATGTATGTATGTATACATATATATATATATATATATGCACACAAACATCCACATACATATGGTATATGCATGTAGTTCTTCGCATGTTTTGCCTTGCTCTTGAAGCTTATCTGGTAGCTAGGCTTCTTACTACGAAAAGGAAGATACATAAATCCGGAGGGTACTTGTTTGGTATTGTGGTCTCTCGGAGTCCTAGAACCGAAGGAGTCCATTGCTTCTTAAAGGGGTGTATGTGGATTCTATAGTAGTGGATCCTTGTGTGATGGGAGGCCAGAACGGGGGGTTAAGATTCTTGGGGTAGGGATTCCTCAATATGAACCCTGTTATGGGAACCCTAATCCCTACTAAACCTCCATAGGCTAAAACCCTTTTGGCCTCCTATGATTGTAGATGCAGATCCACCTGCCTGTAGGCTGACGCGCGTACTGCCTGCGGCCAACCTCCGGCGCAAGAGGTTCAGGATCTTCGGGTAGAGGGGTTTGCGGATTCTGGGATTCGCACGTTTGAGGCTTAAAGGCTTCGAGTTTAAGTTCCTGACTAAGCTTAAGGGGTGCAATTTTAGGGTTCTCTTGGGAAGCTATTGTGCCGCCAGAGCTCAGAGCCCGCGACGAGCTGCAAACCTCGATGCTTCATCTAGACCTACGACCGAAGAGTGACCTAGGAATGAAAAGGGTGCCCTTGTTGGTTTAGAAGAGGGTTCTAAGGGAATCTGAACGCTAAAACAAGGGAACATGGGCTTACTCTGGGTCCTAGTCATGTGCTGCTGGTGCGTTCACTACCCAGAGGCCCCAAAGTAGATCCTTTTTGGGATTACCCTATAGGATTCTATATACGAACCCCAAAAAGGAACTACTTTGGGGCCTATGGGTAGTGCCAAGACCACTAGCACCCCGTATTGGTGCTGGGCGGGTGGCGGCTGCCACAGACTAAAAAGCAGGTCATGGCATTGCCTCATAGTTGCGGCTTAGGGTTTAGGGTTTAGGGTTTAGGACAAGACAAGACACTCACAGTCGAAGGTGCATGCACGAAACCGACGGACACTCACTTAACCCTCATACATAAGCCTGAAATCGTGAGCGGCACGCCCGTGAACTGAGTTATGCCATGGGGGCACACAAAAGCAGGATGCATGCAAAGCGCACGCTGTTCTAGAGCTACCTATGAACCCATCTACTCCAAAAAATCAAAGCTCTAAACCCTGAACACTAAACTCCTCAAGCCGCAAGCCCTTGACCCTGAACTCCTTAACCCCCCTGGTAGAACTCAAACTTGCCGAACCCTTCAAACACTTCTTGGAAACTTAAGCCCCATAGCTATAGAACCACAAACACCCTTACTGGGGAAGCTGGAACCCCATAGATTAGAGCCCTGCAATTGCAAGAAAAACCTAGCCCAAACCCTTCTATGACCCTAAACCCTTCGCCCCAATCCTGGAAACCTGAACCTCCCCCTGAGGTCAGTGCGAATCACCAAGGCGGAAGTCTCGAAAGTCGAGGCCTTTTGGCGAGTTCTTTGGGGGGGAGGGGGGGGGAGGAGTTAGGTTCTTGTGGCTTTTGGGTTTTAGCGGTTTAGCGGCTTAGGGTCTTTTTACACAGGCAATTCCAGAATTGCTCAAGGATGTTGAATGGTCTAAACATTCGTTCAACAGGGTTCTTTTGGATTCTGCGAGGTTCTACATGCAGAGGTTTAAGGGTTCAAGCATTAGGGGTTCGTGTGCAGGGCTTCGGGATTTGGGAATGTAGCGGTCTGGGTGTAGCTGGGATTTGAGCGTTTCAGGCTTCAGGAGCTTGATTTGGCTTTTTCTGCCTTAGTATGAGAAGCCAAATGGTGATGTCCGCTCCAACCATAAACCTTTGGTAGTTCAATTCTCTTAAATGGATACTGCATGCAGAACCCTAAACCCTAAACCCTAATTCCCGCCAATTCACTTGCCCACACTGCTGCTGAGCGCGCACTCTTTTTGCCTTGGCGCTGCGTCAACCGAGTCGTTAGTAAAGAAGAGAGCTTTCAGAGCTCGCCATCGATTGGTGAGAGGGCGAGCGAACTTGATACTTCAGGCGTGTCCTCAAAGACAGGCGGGATGCCCTCAAAGAGCATCGGAGCGGCCCGGTCGCTTGAGAGGCCACCCTTCAAGCCGGTCGTGAGGTAGCCCAGAAAAGCTTAACCTTCAGGTCTGGCGGCGGGGAGGTGGTGGAGAGCTTGAGAAGTCGCAGCAGTAAGGGCCCGGCGTACATCACAGGACTGTCACTTGGATTTCCTCCGATCAGTTCAGCTGGAATGCTGCATCATTCCCGCCAAGTCACTTGCCCACACTGCTGCTGAGCGCGCACTCTTTTTGCCTTGGCGCTGCGTCAACCGAGTCGTTAGTAAAGAAGAGAGCTTTCAGAGCTCGCCATCGATTGGTGAGAGGGCGAGCGAACTTGATACTTCAGGCGTGTCCTCAAAGACAGGCGGGATGCCCTCAAAGAGCATCGGAGCGGCCCGGTCGCTTGAGAGGCCACCCGTCAAGCCGGTCGTGAGGTAGCCCAGAAAAGCTTAACCTTCAGGTCTCCCGCCCCCCCTCCGAGCGGGCGCCTCAAGTTGAGCAGAAGAAGCAGCCAGGTGACAGCGTCAGCAAGCAAAGGGCGGGCTGGGTGGGGATTACCATTGCCACTGCCTGGTGATGCCTGTGACTGCACAGGGGGTGGTTGCCCCACTGCTTGAAGTAGTGGCGGGGGCGATGGAATCAGTGCCGGAAGAAATCCCATCTGCACTTGCAACCACTCCACCAGTTGCTGCTCAACTTCAGCTGCTGCTCCCACGACTTGCAGCCAAACTTCTTGAAACAGACTGGAAACCAGACTGGCCACCGCTCGAAGAAGAAGACGAACTGCGAGAGCGAGGAGCAAGGCGCACAACCGTGGGAAAAGTAGCACGACCAAGGCGGCCGCGATTGTCCTCCATCGCAGCTGCGGCATATGGCGCCGCAGTTGCCCCACGTTGAAGGTCCACACAAAGTTGGCTGCCGAAGGCGCTGAGGCTTGAGTGGGCTCCAAAAGAAGAGGCAAGGGCCTATGGGCCCCCGGGCCTCTGGCGGGAGTAGGCGCCGCTACACCCGAACAGGCCTGCAGCGCTTGCGACATGCGGGCCAAGACACTTGTGAACTTTCTAAGGGAGCTGCCCGCTCGCCAACGGGCTGCCACCTCACGTCGCTGAGGGTCTGCAAGAACCTCAGCTGCTGTAAACCCAGCGTCCACTGGAGCGTCACCCAAGTCTGTAGCTGCCCTGTAGCAACTGATCCGCCGGGACCGCTGCCGCATCCACACCTTCAGCGGGAGCTGGGGCGATCTGGCCATGCCGCGCCCCGCACCCGCTCCGCCATTTGACGAGAGGGCACGCGACGCCGGCGCACGCTCGAGCCTGATCACTTTGCGCCGGGTAGATCGCGCCCTATCGGCTTCCACGCAGCGTCACTCGGTCCACAGCTGGAGTAGTCTGCACGCCGCCCAGCCAGGGTCCATGCCACCCTAGCGCAGACCTGGAGCAAGAAGCCGCCTGAGCCTAATAGAAGGTGGTGCATCCAACCAATAAGCATGTTCATGTATGCGAAGCAAAAGCTGCTTGGCCGCATCAGATGCTTGAGCTACGACTTGCACCGACAAGGCCTCCTGCAAATAGTGTTGTAAAGTCTCAGGGCGGCTCCATCGGCCTGCGAACTGCAGCTGCCCTAAGTTGCGGTGCCGCCGGAACTGGTGCGTAGCACCACCCCCTCGCTGTGTAACCGCACTCACCCATACGAAGCTCTCCTAAGGCCTCCTTGAACAGAATAGCCCAGCGACGACGGTTGATAAGTAGGACTCGCTGGCGGCGCGGCCGATCCGTGACCCACCAACGGAGCCACATAATTAGCGACCGCTATTGCACTAGGGCGAACTGTCGTGCCCAAACTCGCTTTGTCTTCGGGCTTCGGATCCCTACGACCAGGCTGATGCCCTGACAAAGTTCCCCAGCCTCGGGAAAACAAAGGTCTGAGATTTTCAATTCGTCCACCTCCCCAGGTCTAAGTAGGCCTTCAAAAGCCAACCAGTAGCCAATCATCACTGACCACCACTCTGCCCGCAACCTCCCATGATAACTGAAGCCCCGAGCCAAACAAAGCAACAATACCGCTGAAAGTACATGGTAAGCGATCGGCACCCGGGTTTTAATCGGTTCCATTCGCCGCCAGCCCCGCAATTGAATCCATGTGTTCTTCAGGAGCGGGCCTGCAATGCTGAAGGCCCTCTGAATGCTGAGGACGCCCAAAACAACCCAATAACGACGCTCTCCACGCTCATAGCTCACTGCCACCGCCTTTTCAAGCCACCTGTCCACCGTTTGAGGCGAGGAAGAGGGGGATAAGGAGCCACCCAAATCAGAGACTACACCCAACAACCATTGGCCAGCGTCCCTGAGATTTCGCCTGTACTCGGCAGAGAGAGCCGCACGCTTAAGCGTGCGTCGTGACCCGCGGCCACGCGGCATGATGCCCGACGACCTCCTCGATGAAGCCGGCGGGAAAATCCCCAGCTATCTGATTCCGTGCCACCCCGCCAGACACGCCATGCTTGTGAGTTCCGGGGCCGGGGCAACGACGAACACTGCGATGGAGCCAAGGAAAGTTCGAGAGCAGGGTTGTGGGGCGACGTGCGGGTGGAACGGATTTATTTTCATAAGCACACATGTCTGCCTTATACACAAAGACCCGCTCAGACTGCATGAAAAGCTCGGTGGTCCTCATCTGCCAGGCCTTGCTGAGCTGCGGATGGATCAGGATGAAATGGCCACCTTGTTCCATCACCTGCCGGGCCAAGTCGAGGACACGGTTCCACAAAAGGTTGTCACGAGCGATCCTCCACACGCTTGAGTCGCCCTCGGGCAGACCACGAGGTCGCCACTCACCTGTAACACAGGACTTGTGCAGAGTAGAGAAGGTCCGGAGAGGCGGCGCCAACCAAAGCCACCGGACCTCCTTTCTTTCAATCAAGTTGTCAATGCGCTCGCTGAAGACCTCCTCATCACGGTAAGCGTTGACCTCAGAGCACATAGGCCAGCCCTTAGCCCGGTAAACACTGGTCACCAGTCCAAAGCCTGAGCCAATCTCCCAGGCCAGGGGGGAGCGACGCATCCAGCGCCACCCCGAACTTCTGCATCCACTCCTCAGGCAAACTCGGGCTCGGGAGAGGGTTGAAGGGCGACGGGTGGTCGGCGAGGTTCGCACAGGTCTCGATCCACAGCAGTGCGAGAGTCACGTCGGCAAAGATCAGAAATGGAAGTTGACCCCTGAGAACTCTGTTTAACTTGAAAGAAGAGGAGCGCCCCTTGCTCACTGAGCCCACCACTACCAACGAATCATTGAGGGCCACCTGAATGGTGCCCGAGTTGTTGAAGTCAGCTGTGAGCTTCACAATTTCACGGCGTAGGGCACGAGCCTCCTGCAAGTTGATGTGAGAAGTTCTTCGGAAAGAGAAGCTCCCGACAACCTCCCAAGGGAGGCTTTCTGAGATGGCCGCTGCGAAGCAAGAGTTCTCAATTGGAGCCTCACCCGCGAGATTCAAGTTATCGCGATCCAGCCTGACAGGAGAGCCACGAAGTTCTGAACGCCTCCAAAGCTCACGGAGCAATGAGGCGCTGACCGTCGCCCGAACTGTACCTCCTGAAGTGGGTGTGGAATCAGTCGCTAAAAGTGAAGAGTGCAACCTCTTTCGCATACACCACTGGGCCATCGGGAGATGCAAGGCCACTGAGCGCAGCTCGTCCAACACAAAAGCCGGGAGCCAGACCTTCTTGCCTGGCACCAGTTTCTCTACAAAGATGTACAAGTGGTGGATCAAACTGAACATCTCGCGCCTATACTGGAAAATGAAGGCAATGAACCCCAGGAGTTTCTGCAAAATCTCTTTGCTGGCTGTTCCTGCATGCACGGTCTTAGCGATGAGGGACCACACTTGTTGCTGCATTTCCAATGGAGCGCCCACGGTGCCCCGAATCCCATCCACTTCGGCACCCCAAGCTTTGAATCTGGTAACTCCCCGAAAAGCTTTGTGAGTGGCTCGCTGCAACCCCGCCTTTTCGTAAGCGTCCTCAGCCACAGCCGTGTGCACCATGTCCGGATCGTCGGCCTGCAAAGGAGGCGGCTGAAAGGAGCCATCCAGGGGGATCACCGAGTCTAAGGTCACACGTAGCGCTACCAACAGGTCATCAAGATACACGCCTTCCCACAAGTCAGCCTCGGGGACAAACTTGCCATAGGTGAGCTTGTTCTCCGGCCTAAGGAGCCGGAACTTGCGCAGGATGGCTTCGTGTGTAGCTTGCGCGATCGAGCATCCGTTGCGATCCCCCATCCCAAGCCACTCCAGGAGTGCCCCCGTGCTTCTTGACCACATCTGAAGACACCCGGCGCCCCACTGAATTGAAGCGCACCCAGCCTGGAGGGAGTCGTAACATGTAGTAGAAATTCCGGAGATCATCGCCTGAACCACGCAGGTATTGGTCGGGACCCAGGAGCATTCTTGTAAAACAGGCTCCACTCGGCAACTCCTCCCACGCCAACCTCGGCATAGTGCTGTTCTCCGGCCGCCGGTCGAAGATGAGTCGGTCCTCCGAGTCATTTTTCCCAACACAGAAAAGGCCGCCCACAAGAAGCTTGCCCTCGGAAGTATGGGGAAGGTCCGTCTCCTTGACGAGCTCGGCCATGCCAGTCGAGAGGAGCTTCTCGGCCAAGTCATTTTCTTCATCCTCTGGGACACGGTGACAAGCAACTACAACGTCTTCCCAAAGATGCTCCGGGAGGCGCACCGCCTCCAAATCACCTACCACCGCCGCCTGATCTGAAGGTAACCACTCCAAAGGGTCAACACGACCCGCCGCATCAGGAATCGCCACCCTAGAGGCGCACACAGGAAGGGCCCCCGAAGGAATCCCCGCCTCAGCCCCACCATAGCTTGCACAATTGAGCTTCAACATGTCCTCAAGAACCGACCCTTTGCCCTGACATTCAAGAAGACCTGCAACCAGCTCGAAAGAAGCGAACTGGCTCACCTCGCCGAGCAGCTTGAGAGCGAAGTCCTGGACATCCGCAAGGTACACCACTCGCGGCTCCAGTGTAGAGCTCCCCGGGCGCGGGCAGCCAAGCACCACGAAGTTTGACCAAGCCACAAACGTGTTTACGAAGGCTCGGCCCCACCATTCACGGGCTTGACCCCTATCGCTAACAACCTCCGTAAAGGCCACCTCAGGAAAGGGCAAAACACAAAGGAAAAGCGGCACATCGTTGCCGGCCCGAACCAGCAAAGTACCTTGGACGCGTTCCAGCCAGGCTGCATAATTGATAAAACGTGAATTCCTTCCACGCAAGGCCGGGTGCTTTAAGCAAAGGGCCCTGCCATCATGCAACGACTCATCGGTGATCACTTCTTGGAGGCACCAGTCGCCTCCTCCTCGTCCTCGTGCTGGCTGTGACTTTGGGCCTCCTTGACACGCTTCTTGAGCTTCGCCAGGGAGGACATGTAGTCGGCCAGCACGGACATCTCCTCCTTCGTGCCCGCAAACTCCTTCTTGACCATTGGGTCGGGTAACCCCGTTAATAACCAAGCGGCTTGCCAATCTCCTTGGGCGAGGACACTCTGGATCTTCGCTTTCAAGTTCTGCACCAATTGGGCTGCTGCTTGGTCGGGTTTGCCTTGTCTGATCAACTCGTAGGCGGCTACATCCATCATGGCACACCGGTAGATACCCTTGAATTTGCCCCACGATTGGCGTTTCACGAAGTCTCTGAGAGTCCAGCTTTGGCCAGCTGCCACCCCCAACTCCTCGATCACCTCCTTCTCGAAGATCTCGCATACCTTGCGGGGCCGCTTCTGCACCTGAGCTTGCAAGCGGTGTAACGTGGACACCGCCCGCATCCCCTTTCCTCGGAGGTCGTCCTCGGCCTCCGAATCGTCGGAGGAGCCACCACCAAGGAGATCGGAGCTGCCGCTTGCCCGATCTCGCCGTCGCCGGCTCCCCTTCTTGTCCTTCTCGAGCAACATGGTCATCATCATGAGGGGCATCAGCTCGCTGCTGCTCTGGCCGCTGGCCAGGCTTTGGGCTAACAAGGTCCTCAAATCCGGAGTTTCCTTGATGTCCTTCTTCGGCTTGGCCTCCTTGGTCACACGAGCCCGCGACGAAGCCGGGGCCCCAGGGCGGAGGTAGGAGGCTGGCTCCCAGCCATCTTCGTCGTCGTCCGTCTCGTCCTCTTCGTCGGCGTCTTCCCGGCCCTTCTGAAACAAAGCGCCCAGGGCGCCTAGATCCATCTCCACTCGGCTCTTGGCAGGGCGGCTGCCCTTTGTGGCCGGTCGCTCGGCCTCGCTGCTGGAAAGATTGCCCGCTGTCACCTGCTTCCATGCGGCAACCGACGCCTCCCAAGGGGGGAGGTCCTTCAGTCTCAGTCCGCTCCAATTGTCAGGGCGGCTCAAACTAATGGTGTTAGTCGGGACCCGAATAAAAGCAATCTCTGCTCCGTGGCTCTTGCCCTTCGCTTGATTAGGCACTCCAGTGACCGAAGACACCGGGGTAGCCAAGAAAGCTTCACTCCCAGCCAGCTCAACAATCCAGCCCGTCACCGGTACATCCCCAGCAGAGCCATGGCAAACGACGTAGACTACGTCTCCACTATCCATGATCACTTAAGAGCTTGAGAAGTCGCAGCAGTAACGGCCCGGCGTACATCACAGGACTGTCACTTGGATTTCCTCCGATCAGTTCAGCTGGAATGCTGCATCAACCGGTTCAAATCATTGTGGTTCAGCTTTGGAGGAGTGTTCTGGATCCTATGCTTACGGCTCTGTTAGGCATCAAAGCGCATGACACCCAAGACCAAAGAACTCTATCTTACATACCCTAAACATCCCTAAACCCCGCAAAGAACCAGAGGCAATTCCAGAATATATCCTAAACCCAACAAAGAACCCGGGCTGTATAGGAGTTTCCGAAAATAAGGGGTACTGCGTACCCACATGGGGGTCCTTATCATAAGGATCCTACCATTTAAGGTATTAGATTTGGGTCCCCTATTTTCAGAAAATACACACCCAGACCCTGTGTCGGCTCAGACGAAGGCAGTCGCAGAAATGCCCGGCGACGAGCTCCAAGGCCTGACACCACACGGTTTCGGGCTTAGGGTTTCGGGGTTTAGGGTTTGGGGGTTTAGGGTTTTAGGGTTTAGGGATTTTGGGGTTCAGGGTTTATGACTTGGGGTTTATTGTTTTGGGTTTAGGGCGGGCTTCGATTAATTCCGTGGCTCTTAGTAGGGAATGGGAATTATAACGGACCTTAAGACTTAAGAGACTACTATTTGAGATCCATTCCCTGCTAAGAGCCGGGGAGTTTGAGGTCCAGGGTTGAGGAATTGCGGCTCAGGGTTTAAGCTTTACAGTCTGGGGCTCTGACAGTTCAGGGTCTTAGTATGGCTTAAGGCTAAGGCTTAGGATAAGAAAGCTAAGGTTCACAGCTTAGGGTCTAAACTCTAATGCCAAGGGTTTGAGGATGTTCTCGGGCATCAGGGTATTCGGGTAGGGTCTCGGGCATGGTGGTCAATCTAAGATCTTCAGTCGCTAAGGCCGTCTAAACGCGTAGATCCGAAATCCCTTTTGGAATCCTTAACCATGCCTCAAGTTAAAGGAACCCGAACACCCCCAGCTGCCTTACCATAGGAATGGAATATGGCTCTGGTGTCTCTTATAGTTCAAATACAGACCGGGGCTTTGCCGGGATGCCATGACTCATCCCAGATTTCTGGGCCTGGTCGATGTCATCGCTGATGTCCTTGCCATCGGAGAGCCGGACTACCTGACATGTCGTGGACCAACTGACATGTAACGGCATCTATATCTTCTTACAAAGGAAGGTGTGTGTCGGTATGTGGCCCCTTTGTCCATCTGTCGTCGTAGATATCCCTAAACCCTAAACCGAAACCCTAAACCCCAAACCCTAAGCCCTAAACCCAAACCCTGAGCGCTAAACCCAAACCCTGGGCCGTAAACCCAAACCCTCAGTCCTAAGCCCTAAACCCAAACCCCAAGCCCTAAATCCACACCCTAAGCCCTAAACCCAAACCCTAAGCCCTGAAGCACCGTCTTTGAGTATGCGACTACGAGAATCCGTCAGACCCTCGTAGATAGGAGACGGGCCAAGCTGCATTTGAGCACATTGCCAGGGTTTAGGGTTTTAATTAGGGGGTTTAGGGTTTAGGGGTGCAGGGTTTAGTTTAGGGTTTAGGGGTTTAGGGGTTTAGGGTCTCCTGCTGGTTCGGTGGGGCTTAAGATAGAGGGGCCTGAATAGTTAGAACAGGGCTTGGGGGATAGCACACTCTAGTTGACAATAAGGAACCCCCCATAACCCTTCTCTAATCATTGATGCCCCTGCATTATGGTTCGGGGCTTGGGGTTGGAACGTGGAACTAACAGGGAATCCCAGCGGGATGCTACTGCGGCCGCAACGTAACGGCGCATGAAGAAGCAGAACACTACTCTGTACTCCTCAACGTGCGTTCCATTTCTGGTTCACTGTTGTTGCGGTGGGGCCTAGTGAGAAAATATTTGAGACAGACGAGTATATAAAACACTCCCATGTAAGCCGGTCTAAGCATGAGCGCTTTACGCAGAAGTTGTGCAGTGCCGCTTGGGGCCGTACCGCTGTGTATACACAAAGTCCTCAACTGAACTTCGTACCCTGCGGCGAAGTAACTAGGTCGAATCGAACCCCAAACTCCAAACCCAAAACCCTGAACATAAGACGCTGAACCTTAAAGAAACACACCTGGACCGAAATTTCCTGTATAGTGCCCTTAAATGAACTCTCAGAGAACCCTTGCACGGACCCGGCACTTCTGGGGCTGGTAAGGAGTTCAAGCTTTTCGATCGGTCCCTCTCTGAAAACCCGTTTAGGGGGTTTCGGGGTTTAGGGTTTAGGGGTTGAGGGTTTAGGGGTTTAGGGCTTAGGGTCTAGGGTTTAGGGGTTTAGGGTTTAGGGGCTTAGGGGTTTAGGGTTTAGGGGTTGAGGGTTTAGGGTCTAGGGTTTAGGGGTTGAGGGTTTAGGGTCTAGGGTTTAGGGGTTCGGCTTAGGGGTTTTAAGATTTACCTGGACCGTAAAGAACCTACCTTTCTCGGGATCCTCTCATCCTGGTTTCCTCATATAAAACCTCGAAAAGGTACGTTTTGGGGTTTAGGGAAAGCGTTTCGAGCCGAGGGCCTGTCTGATCGTGACTTTAAACCCCTATGCAGCATTACCTTTATTCCCAGTTCCCGATAAGGCTAGCAGCAGTACTGAGCTCGTATACGGTTTAGGGTTTAGGGTTTAGGTTTTACGGTTTAGGATTTAGGGTTTAGGGTTTACGGTTTAGGGTTCAGGGTTTAGGGTTTACGGTTTAGGATTGAAGGTTTCGGGCTTACAGTCTTCGCTCAACCCGACAATACCGACCCCAGCAGGTCGGAGGAACTTCCCTACTTGTCGGGCATCATGGGGAACCAAAGGCTAACCTTTTTGGATATACACGGATTCTATAGGGACTATACTGTAGGGATTCTATATTCTTTAGGGACTATAATATAGGGATTATATAGGGACTATAATATAGGGATTATATAGGGGCTATGCTACCCAAAAAAAAGGTTACAGGTTACCTACTCTACTACTAGGCTTCGCTACCCCAGACCGCAGTCCAAACCTGGAAAATGCAAGCCCTGAACCCTAAACAACAACTGCAGCCAATCCGAGAACCCTACTTGGAGGATCATGGGACTTAGTAAGTAAGGTTATAAGTAGTTTAATGGGGTTATAAGTACTTATAAGTATAGCTACCTTACTTATAACCCTAGTTACTAAGTCCCATGACCCTTTAAGTATCACCTTAACCCCAAGCCCCAAATCCTAAACCCCTGCACCATCAACACTTTAGGCAAGGTTTGCCCACCACTCGGCTGGGTTCTTTGTTTTCTAACATCCCCATCCTACTGTTATGCTATATCCTTACAGCCCTATGCAATAAAGCCTGACTCAAACCACGCAGGGGACCTGCTCCAGCAATGGCAGAGCTTGCCGCGAGCGCAGTTCCTGCCGGAACGAGGCAAAAACCGCAATTCAGGGCAGATCGATGTTTCGATGAGTTTACGGGTGCCATGATTGAGGGCTTCGGGTGTTCCTGTAAGGGTTTACGGGTTTGGGGCCCTGGGGTTTAAGTGTAGCAGATTGGGGTTTAAGGGCTTGCGGTGTAGGAATCAGGGTTTAGGGCTTTGCGGGTTGTAGGCCGTAGATGGAGGGACCCAGTCCTGCATTACCGCTGATGAGGACTAATGTATAGTCCCCATGCTGTACAATAGTCCGCGGGTCTGCACACCCAGCGCTACTGTCGCATCATCGTCCCTATCTAAGCATACTCTCCAATGAATGAGGTTCCTCCGGTGCTTACGCCGTATGATAAGATTTTGGGGCACTCAGCTCGACTGGGCAGGGTGTTGTAGGAGCCTGCAGAACTACCCAAAGGCCCCAGAGTAGTTCCTTTTGGGATTACCCCATAGGATTCTGTATATGAACCCCAAAAGGGAACTACTTTGGGGCCTTTGGGTAGAACCAGAATACTTCATGTAGATCCCTGATTAATACCCCCCCTCATGTTTTTAATCACAGCGATGACATGGATCCTAATCTTAAACCCTAAACCCCAAACCCCACCGTAAACGTGGTCAAGCCCCTGAGACCTTACGATATACGAGCCTGCAGAACTTCAAAAAGCTCCTGGGTCTACAACTTCACATTTTTTTGTAGGGAAGCAGGCGGAGTCAAAATACTGATGATTCAAGCCTAAGGAAACACGCACCCTAACAAGGGCTGAATGTAGATAAAGCTATAGTTAGCTTACTTAAACCCCTACTTAACAACCAAGTTCTCAGATCCTGTATGTCAGACCTGACTGCTTCTTTCTCTGCAAATGTCGCGTCTCATCTAGAAGCGATGATGTAAGATTTCTGAAGTTTCGGGGCTGGGTTCTAGGTCTTTGGGTTTCGGGGCTTTCGTGTTTAGGGTGGAGAGTTTGTGGTTTACTGCCTGCAATGCTGCCCCCTGAAGGCATTGTGTCAGTATGTACTATGAGGATGTGTGAGCCAATGACGGCTCGAACCGTTCAACAGAAACTACCGGACGTCCCATCTCAGAAATCTCGGTTCAGCCTTTGCTGAAGACAAGTGCAGCTTGCAGCACCAAGCCGTAGAGTTTAGGGTCTTTGATTTAGGGTTTAGGGTTTACAGTTTAGTGTCTTTGATTTAGGACTCTGATGAACCTGTTTACGTCTTTGTTGCGTCCAGGATCTACAGATAAATCGTTCCCAGAAAACATCAGCAAAAACACAGGTGCAGCTTGTACCGGGTCATGTTACGATCATTACTTCCACTACAATTGTAACTATAATTACCTTTATTACCATTAGTACAATTCATACGACTACTCTTGTGATGACGACTATTGTTGTTGTTATTTATCATCATCATTATTGTTATTATTATTGTTATTAGTAGTAGTAGTAGTAGTAGTAGTAGTAGTAGTAGTAGTAGTAGTAGTAGTAGTAGTAGTAGTAGTAGTAGTAGTAGTAGTAGTAGTAGTAGTAGTAGTAGTAGTAGTACTTTTATTCGTTGGATTGCTATGGTTACGTTGATCCATTATTGTTTTGTGAATTTTGATACATGAAAATCCCAGGTCTTTCATCGGACATGCCCAGTGCCCACCTTCTTTCTGTCCCCTTATCCGCCGCTTCCCTGCAGCGCAGCGGGTTTCTATCTGACCCGAATTCTACTCCTGTGACTGCCTACAGTAGCTGTTCCTTCTGCGCGCGAAGACCTTGCAAAGGGCCGTCACTGGTAGTGTTTCGGGCTTATGGTCAAGAATCTTTTGGAAATTGTGAGTGCCCGGGCCTGGGCTAGTATTCATTGCCCAAGCAGCTTACATCCTGCCCTGTGGCAGCCTGCATGTGTAGCTACCACTAGTGAAAGGACTCTTGAAGACCCTAAACCCTAAAACCTCAACTAGCAGCTACGGTTGGTGATGCAAATCCTGCAATAAATTACCTCAAGGACCCTAAACTATGGGAATCATGGGATATTCTTATTAATGGGATATTCTTATTAAAGGGTAATGCAGGATTTACATAATCAACCGTAAGTGAAGGCTAGCAGTCTCTTCCCTCCTGTCCTTGCCGCGGAAAATTTGCATGGGCACATGGCTGTTCTTCAAAATACGAAGAAGGTCCGAATGTCAGGCGTCGCGATGACATTAACGAGGCCACGCTTTCGATTTCAACTGGTCCAATAAGAGTTGTCAGAACAACCCTCACGAGCCCAAAGCAGGGTGAAAGAAACTGGACGGATTCATGGCAGCAAGACACAGAGGCTCCATAAAACACCATCCACACTGCAAAGTCATTTGCATGAATAAGTATGTTTCGAGGAATGAGGATGCACACATATAATCAAGTGGACCCTCCAGAGGGACGGAGAAGGCAGCTGCCTCAGCTTCGCGGCTATTTTTGCTGTAAGGCGGAAGCCCACTTTACACTACACTGCGCCCTATGAACCCTGCAACTACGCTTGCTGGGGATAAGTCTAGTATAGAATTCAAGTGAGAGATCTTTGGAATCATGACCTACTTTCCAAGTTTCCAAACCCTAAACCCCTAAACCCCTAAACCCCTAAACCGCTAAACCCCTAAGCCCCTAAACCCCTAAGCCCCTAAACCCCTAAACCCCTAAACCCCTAAACTCCTAAACCCCTAAACCCCTAAACCAAAAGCCCCTAAACCCCTAAACCCCTAAACCCCTAAACCCCTAAACCCCTAAACCCCTAAACCCCTAAACCCCCAAACCCTAAGCCCCTAAGCCCCTAAACCCCTAAACCCCTAAACCCTAAGCCCCTAAACCCCTAAACCCCTAAACCCCTAAATCCTAAACCCCTAAACCCCTAAACCCCTAAACCCCTAAACCCCTAAACCCCTAAACCCCCAAACCCTAGCCCTAAGCCCCTAAACCCTAAAACCCCTAAACCCCCTAAACCCTAAACCCTAAAAACCCTAAACCCTAAAAACCCTAAACCCCCTAAACCCTAAACCCCTAACCCCTAAACCCTAACCCCTAAAAACCCTAACCCCTAAACCCCTAAACCCTAAAACCCCTAAACCCTAAAACCCTAAACCCTAAAAACCCCTAAACCCTAAAACCCCTAAACCCTAAAACCCCTAAACCCTAAAACCCCTAAACCCTAAACCCCTAAACCCTAAACCCCTAAACCCTAACCCCAACCCTAAAAACCCGAAACCCTAAACCCCTAAACCCTAAAACCCCTAAACCCTAAAAACCCCTAAACCCTAACCCCTAAACCCTAAAACCCCTAAACCCTAAACCCCCCCTAAAACCCCCCCTAAACCCCTAAACCCCCAAAACCCTAAGCCCCTAAGCCCCTAAACCCCTTAACCCCTAAACCCTGAACCCCGAAACCCCTTAACCCCTAAACCCCTAAACCCTAAACCCCTAAACCCTAAGCCCCTAAACCCCTAAACCCTAAACCCCTAAACCCTAAGCCCCTAAACCCCTTAACCCCTAAACCCTAAACCCCTAAACCTCTAACCCCTAAACCCTAAACCCCCAAACCCCTAAACCCTTACCCCTAAACCCCTAAACCCCTAAACCCCTAAACCCTAAGCCCCTAAACCCCTTAACCCCTAAACCCTAAACCCCTAAACCCTAAACCCCCAAACCCCTAAACCCTAACCCCTAAACCCCTAAACCCCTAAACCCCTAAACCCCCAAACCCTAAGCCCCTAAGCCCCTAAACCCCTTAACCCCTAAACCCTGAACCCCGAAACCCCTTAACCCCTAAACCCCTAAACCCTAAACCCCTAAACCCTAAGCCCCTAAACCCCTAAACCCTAAACCCCTAAACCCTAAGCCCCTAAACCCCTAAACCCCTAAACCCCTAAACCCCTACACCCTAAACCCCTAAACCCTAAACCGCTAAACCCTAAACCATGGTTTTTAACGGCCGCAGGACCCCGCAGGATTCCAAACACAAAAGTACATAGTAGTAGTGTGGCGTGTAATCCCTTGTCGTCTATGCCGACTCAGGGTTAAGGTTTTAGGGCTTAGAAGTTAGGGCCCTTTTTTGGTCTATACGGGCTTAGGGTTCCTTTTTTTTTAGTGTGTTAGGCCTTTCTCTGGCTCAGGGTTTAGGGTTTAGGGCTTAGGACTGAGGGCTTAGGGATGGTGAAGGTCAATAAAAGGTCAGTAATAATTTGGGGGCTTCGTATAGGGCCTTGGCATCTATACCAAAGCGAGCTAATCCTCAAGGCTCTTCATGGTACTCCTTAAACCCCTGTAAACGTCGTAACGGTGTTGCTGAATGTTGATGCCTGTATATGAGGGACGGGGGGAATTGCTGAGGCATCTAACTCAGGAATCACACAATAGTTAAGAAGACTTCAGGGTTTAGGTTTTAAGGTGTCACGAACGGTGTAGGGTGTTAGGCTGAACTGTGCGTTCTGGGCAAATGTCAACGTCTGTGCACTTCATGGCTAACCTCCGACCCTACATCCTAAACCCTAAAACTTACGAAAACAGGTTTAGGGTGTAGGGTTTTGGGATTTAAGGTTTAGGGTTTAACTTACGAGCCCTGAAATGCTAAGACCCACCCGAAAAAAAAAACGAACCAACTGTGCCTCTGTCCTTAAGCTCAGACAGCCGGAAGCCGGAGCCCCGAGAACCAAATACCCCCTTAATTAGGGAATATACCTTACGTTTTAGGGGCCTTAGTATCATGGTTTAAGGTCTATTCCTTTTTTGAGGGGGTATTAGAATCCCCTAAACCCTAGACCGTCTAGATCCTCCATCGATCCCTTTGAGGAACCCTAGGTATTCCTTAATTGAGGGGGATCGGGATTTCTGGGAGACCGCGGGCAGCAGAATCGGGACTCAGGTCTTGTAGTGCTCGTAGTCCTTGAAGCGGAACTCCTGGTAGCCGCGCCCGATGCGAGGTTTAGGGTTTAGGGGTTTAGGGGTTTAAGGGTTTTGGGGTTTAGGGGTTTAGGGGTTTAGGGTTTAGGGTCAAATTTTTAGGGGGTTCGGGTTTATGGGTTCAAGGGTCTAGGGGTTTAAGGGTTTAGGGTGTAGGGGCTTAGGGTTTAGAGGCTTAGGGTTCAGGCCAGTAGCACTGCGAAAGGTACGCGAGTTTCAGGAAAAAAGGGACCCTGATATCGACCCTAGACAGAAACACCCTCATCATCATAATCATTGAACCCTGGACTACTGTAATCTGCTTGAGGAAACGCATACTCTCCCTATGAAGCGGTTCAACACCTCTGTCTGTTGGAAACCCCCTGCAGGCAAGAAGCCCAACCTACTGCTGTAACGATTATACCCGTTCAATAAGGGGCCATAACCTACTATTCTATCGGGTTTGCGGCTGCGGGTAAAACCGAAACCCTAAACCCAACACCCTGAACCCTAAACTCCTAAACCCCAAACCCTAAACCCGAACCCCAAACCCTAAACCCTATACACACTAATCCCAAGAGGAAAGTCCTGCTTCAGAGCCTCGACGGCCGCCAGCCCAGCCACCGACACGACCTCGGCACCGAGGCACCTGCAGGGAACCGGCAGAACTGCTTTAAAAGGGTTTGGGGTGTAGGGGTCTAGGGTTTTAGGGTTTAGGGTTTAGGGTTTAGCCGCGCAAAGGCCATGTTTAAACGAATCCATAAAAGATCGAAGTACATATGGTAAAGAGTGCTTAGGGTTTAGGGTGTAGGGTTTAGCGTTTTGGATCTTGGGCCCCTTAAGTCTTTGTAAGGGCTTGCGCAAGGGTTGTACCGGGGTTCCAAAGGGACTTCTTATCATGTAGGGTCTGGGTCCTGGGGAAATTGCCTGGAAGCGCCTGAGCCACGAACCCCATGCCCTGAAAGCCCGAAACACCCGAAACTTTTAAACCCTATAAACCCTAAACCCCTAAACCCTAAACCCTAAACCCTAAACCCTAAACCCTAAACCCCAAACCCTAAACCCCAAACCCCAAACCCTAAACCCCCTAAACCCTAAACCGCACCCCTCTCGCCGAGCGGAAGATCGAAAAGGAGGTGAGCCTGACTTCTTGCAGACATGCAAGAACTAAGTCCAAACACACGGTTAAGGTTTAGGGTTTAGGGTTTAGGGTTTAGGGTTTAGGGTTTAGGGTAACAATCAAACCAAAGTGCGGCATCGCCGGCAGCAGCGAGGTCTGCGCGGCCGCGAGGGCGGCCACGAAAGTTAGGCCGAAACCTGGTTCAAACAAGCACCCAACACGAGCGTTCAGAAAAACATGGGGCTATACCACAAACCCTAAACCCCCTAAACCTTATACCCTAGTGGGATCATGATCATACTCATGAGGACCCCGATCTTGTTTACCTAGTTGAAGAAATCCGACTCTGGGTGTGCAGATTCGAGGGCTTTTGGACCCGATGCGAGGATATGAGGCCCCAGGGCTTGTGCTCTTCAAGATTTGCCTAAGTTTACCGTCTTACTACATCTTTGGGGAGGTATCTTCTGGCACAGCTCTACAGGAACTACAAGTATCTACAAGTTTCTACTGGTACTTAAAACTCAAGCAATTGTTCAAACCATTTTACTACGGTTGATGATATAAATCCTGCATTACCCATGATAAGGAACATACCATAATCCCCATAGTCTAGGGTCCTTCAGGTAATGCAAGATTTTTATCTTCAACCGTAGGACTTTCAGTCTGGGATTTGTGATGAGCGGAAAAAGTCTTGGAAGATGATTCCGCCAGAACGAAGTGCAGTGGGCGTGTCAAGAGAAATTCAACTTGACCTGTGGAACATGACGTGGGAATGGCATCAGTGATTCCTTAGTTTCCTGCAGTGTAGCATTTTTGCGCACATATCTTTGGAAATTGGCTCATGACCCTAACCCTAAACCTCTAAACCCTAAAACCTAAACCCTAAACCCTAAACCTCTAAACCCTAAACCCTAAACTCTAAACCCTAAACCCCAAAGCCTAAACCCTAAACCCTAAACCCTAAAACCTAAACCCTAAACCCTAAACCCTAACCCCCTAAACCCTCAAACTTAAACCCTAACCCCTAAAGCCTAAAAGCCCACCGGGCTCCCCTTCCTGGACCGTCTGAGACGCGCACCGCGCTGCCACACCGCCATGGACTCGAAGGCCTACAGTGCTTAACGGCTTTAGGGTTTAGGGCTTAAGGCTTAGTTGAAAGTTTTGGGGATAAGAGAGAGTCTAGGGTTGAGGGATTAGGGTTTAGCGGCTTTAGGGTTTAGGGCTTAGCGGCTTAGCGTTGAGAGTTTTGGGGATAAGGGAGGCGATTTTGCTTTGGCAGTTTCGGGCAGCAAAAGGCGGATCAAAGAGAAAGAGAAAGAGACTTGGGTGCAGTCAAACCGCTAGATAACTTTACACCATGATTGATCCAACACAGGCGGGTCTCATGTCATGGTGAATCCTGATTTCATGGCGCCTTGGAATCTTGAACTTGAACCATTTTCGTGCCCAACGTGTGCGTAAAGTACCGAGCAACAAGCTAACCATCTGTGATGCTATGACCCACCCACTAGCAAACGCAAAGAAAAAAACACGTACTCCGAACTAGCTGCATGGATGGACATACGCAGGACGGAAGGACAGATTCGTGGAAGCCTATGAGAGCGCACCTGTACTCACACACATGCTATAAGCAGTTGATGGTATTAGTAGGCTCGCAGAATACTCTCTTGTATGACCATGTGATATAGACGCACTGATACAAACAAAGAGGCATGATAGCACAAGAACCCACGAGTCAAACCCAGACAGCTCGATGTCCCAGCCTCGCGGCAATGCTTGCAATGTGCAGAGTGCTGGTCCCAGCGGTTGAGCAGTTCCTGCTCTATCAGAGCCGTGTCCGAAACAGACATCGCAACTATCGTAATTGCCATCCTCATTATGATCACCATCAGCATCATCGTTATGAAAACCAGCTTGGAATGGATGAAGGTGATCATGGTGGTGATGGCGATGGGTGATAGTGCTGGTGATGGTGACGGTAGTGGTGGGTTCAGGCTTGTGGGCTCAAGGCCTTGACCTACTGTAGGGGCGTTTATAATTAAAATAAGGTTATGAAGGGTTCCTTATTGTAAATACAGTATAATATACTCCCAAATCCCATTCTAATTCTTAAGGAACCTACATCACTCCTGAACCCCACAGCAGAGATTGAAGTCCGATCGAGTTTCGAGCCCTGGCCCAGGCCTTGAACTCCACCAGTTAGGGCTTAGGCTGTAGGCTTTGGGGTTTAGGGTTAGGTTTTAGGCTTTGCGGTTTAGGTTTTAGGGTTTTTGCTTTAGGGTTTAGTCTTTAGGGTTTAGTTTTTAGGGTTTAGGTTTTAGGGTTTAGGTTTTAGGGTTTAGGCTTTGGAGGTTAGGCTTTAGGGTAAGGGGATAGCTACATTTTCGGGTTCACACACCGCGAGGCTTAGAGGAAATCACGAGCAGGTGATACACACCCTGCACCCTGGACTTCCAACGCTGGTGTGAGTTTTAGGGTTTACGGTCTAGGGTTACTCCCAAAAATGTGACAACATTGACCCCAGAAGCTCTGAACCCTAAACCTGCAAAACCCTGACCCGTACACCCAAACAGCCTGACCTGATGCACTTCTGCTGAACCCCAAACCCTAAACTCCTAAACCGCCTGACTCCGGAGGAATCGCCCAAGGCCTCCCGAGACATCGGAGATGGAGGCAGCTGGTTCTGCGCACGGGAGCACTGTTAGGGTTTGGGCTTTTTAGCTTTAAGGTTTAGGGTTTCGGGGTTCTGAGGTTCAGGGTTTAGAGTGCACGTAGGGGCTTCTCTACAGTCATCGCCCGGGCGCATCCGAAATCACAACGTCCTCATTACAACATCCACAGCATACTGACTCCATGTCAGCACGCGCAATAACGTCCACCCCGACCACATCCACGATCATTAAAGCACTGCTCTTTACTGCGATTTCTGCACATTTCGTTCATGCTGGCTTTTGGCGTGGCCAAATTCGAGGGGTTTGCAGAACTGTCAGCGTAGACCCCCGATTGATGTTTTCAACGCCCTCCACTCCACTACCCATTAAATGTACGGCACCTCCCTCAGCTACGAAAAGACTCAAGACCAGTCTGTTAGGCCATACTGCTTTAAACAAGGGATGTTGAACTCTCTGGGCACTACTCTACTGCAAAAGAAGGCTTACATACCAGGGGCTGCTCTAAACCAGGTCCGGTGTCCCCGGCGTCGTGCCTCGATTCCCACTTACAACTACAAGCATGAAGTTCAGGAAGTCACGGTCTTTTCGGCCTTGGGCATTACGTAAGACGACGGATTTGCGCGCGTATAATTTCGATGTCCAAATAATTCGTAGAAAAGCCCTTTGCATCCCTTTAGAATGGTTCGGACTCCAAGCCCCTATTCTCATTCTGAAGGCTGCCATACTCAGTAGGGTTGCGTGAGGAGGCCGCAAGGCTAGAAGTGGGAATGCTCGAAGTCCTCCTTCTAGAAGGTTTAGGATTTTAGGATTAGGGGTTTAGGGTTGAAGGTTTAGGGTCATTATATAGGGCATACCAGACTTTAGGAAGGGTTTTATACGGCTTGAAGCTTGAAATGGCTTAGGGTGTATCGTCTCTTAGGAAGATGCCAAGCCACAAGCTATGACACAGTGATCAACAAGAGAAACTCTTGGAGCGCAGTTTCGAGCTTGTTGCTAGGGTTTAGGGCTTAGGGCCACACCTGAAACTTGAAGCATGTGTTGCAAGAGTGGGAAGGGAAGTATGTCGACAGCTTCTTCGGCTCAACCCTAAACCCCTACACCCTAAACTCTGAACCCTAAACCCCAAACCCTAAACCCCTAACCCCTAAATCCTATACCCTCAGCTAGAGCTGCTTGGCCCACCTCCGGATCCACGCAGCGTGCACCCTCCTCACGACAAAACGACGGGAGGGGGGGCCTGAAGTTTCGGGTTTAGGGGTTTAGGTTTCAGGGTTTAGGGGGTTTAGGGGTTTAGGTTTCAGTGTTTTAGGGGGTTTAGGGGTTTAGGGTTTAGGGTTTGGGGTTTGGGGTTTAGGGTTTAGGGTTTGGGGCTTAGGGTTTGGGGTTTAGGGTTTAGGGTTTGGGGTTTAGGGTTTAGGGTTTAGGTTTGGGGTTTAGGGCTTAGGGTCTAGAATGCTTGGTTGGGGGTTGAGCGTTGATGGGCTGCAAGGACTTGCCTTCTTGATGTGGAAACGGTGCTTGACCCAAGTTCTAAACCCTAGGTTTAAGCAGGATTCTGTCAATTTCGGATCCTGCTAAGTACTGTCACAACAGGGATCCTATGAGGGCTTAGAATTCAGGGGACATTGCAAGAAGGCTAGAGGGTGGATTCTATAGGCTACATTGGTAAGACACTGTTTGCACGCCGATCGTAACTAACCACGTAAAACCCCGGCGGAACCCTAGCCAAACTTTGTTCAGACCCCGGATGAAGTCATACAACCCTCTTGGAACCCCGATACATCCCTGCCCCAAGCCCTGAACCCTAAACCCTAATCCCGAAGTGTCCTTCGCGAGCCACGCACGCCAGGCGCTGATGCTCCGGTCGCTTTCACCTGCCAGCAGGTCCGGGATTTATAAGGCTCCTATAGGGATCACTAGGAGGCTAAGAGATTCAAAAAATGTCTGACCTGGATTCCGCAAGAGGTTTATGAAGACTGTGAGCTCTAGGGTTCAGGGCTTCAATCGAATTGAAAGGTGCAGGGTTCAGGCTCCGAAGTATGATGCTAGTGGAGGCTGAGTGCACCGGGCGCAGATATACCCAGAGCCTCCAAAACCCCTTAATTAAGGAATATACCTTAAATTATAATAGGATCCCTTATATGATTTAAGGTATATTCCTTAATTAAGGGGTTTTGGAGGCTCTGGGCATGCTCCTCGCAGTTGTACCTGTAGACACTTCTGTGACAAAGCACACTACGAACGATGCCCGCACGAAACCATGCTGCTGTGCTGTGCACGGCTATCCTTAGCAACATCCTGTTGATCCAGTCGCTCTCTAAGCGTCGACTACAACAGTCCTCAAATGTATTTGTAATTAGGGTTTAGGCTTTAGGGATTGTAATTAGGGCTCTGCATTACGCAATACGGGAAATTGAAAATAGCCCAAATCGGTGCCTAGCCCTAGCTGGGCAATCAGTTCCGCTGGAGAAACCTTAGTAATTAGAATAGGGTTTTGGGCCCTTTATAGTATAGTTATGATCAGGAACCCGTGGAATAGTATGGGCAATTATTTATACTAGGCTTGGACCCTCAAGATGGGCTATCCGAAGCTCGGAGAACCCAGACGAAAACTTCTCTAAAGCCCAAATCCATGATCCCCAGTCGAATCCCGAAACCCTAACCACGAATCCCGAAACCCGAATCCCGAATCCTTAAACCCTCAATCCGAATCCCAAATGCCGAGCCCGGAGTCCCCATTCCCTATAGTAAGCCCTACCTGGCATGAAGTAGGAGTTCCTTTTGGGGGTTCGTAGAATCCTATAAGGCAATCCCAGAAAGGAACTACCATGGGGCCTATGGGCAAGCCCTTCCTGTCCTGAAGTAGGGTTTAGGGTTTAGAGTAGTCCCGAATCCCTAAGTAAGCCCCTAAACCCTAAACCCTAAACCCTAAACCCTAAGCCCTACCTGGCATGAAGTAGGAGTTCGACCAGTCTTGCGACGAGTACGGAGCCTGGCTTGCGGAGGCCAGCATCTTGGCACCAACACATTAAATTTTTGCTAGGGTTCCTTAAAGGGATCTATAGGGTTCCTTAAAGGGATCTTTAGGGTTTAGGGGTTTAGGGTTTAGGGTTTAGGGTAATTGAAACAAGTGTCCTTTAAAAGGTTCTTTACAGGGTTCTACAGGGTGGTTACATAAGGGACCCCTGGGCCCTAAGCTACAAACCACAAACCCTGAACCATATGGGAGTTTCCGAAAATAGGGGACCCTACTATAGTACCCTAAATAGTAGGATCCTTACTATAAGGACTCCAAAATAAGGTACCCCTCAATTTCGGAAACTCGCATATCTGTTGGGGCTTTCAAGAAGTCACCCGACGCCTGTAGTCACTTTCTTTCAGGGCCCTAAGGCTGGGACCTCAGACTTTGCAAGTTCAATTCTGAATTCCTATAATAGGGCCCCAAAAAAGCACATAAGCAAAAATTAGGATAGTGATATCCCATATAAACCCCCTTATAATGAAGCCCATTAAGGTAGGGATATCCCTTTAAAATGCTTATGCTTATGTGCTTTTTGGGTCCCTAATATAAGGGCTTTGATCAGGCGGTCTACTTAATTAGATTCCCCAGTGTCCCTTTCTGCTGGCACTCCGTTTTACTAAAAAACGGGTAACAGGGCACTACTTTGGAACCTAGAATTTATCTGAACCTCACTCCCAAAGGGTCCGAAGTACCTACATAATGGAGTGAAGGGTTTCGGCAATGGGAAGTACTGGTGTGATGTGGGGAAGTCTACCCTATGCCCCATAACAACACCTAGGACCATTTGAAATGGGACTATCAGCCCTACTTGAAGGATCATGGGACTTAGTAAGTAGGTTATAAATAGGGTTATAAGTCCCCTAAGTGGGGTTATCCTAGTTATAACCTACTTATTATAACCTTACTTACTAAGTCCCATGAGCCCTTAAGTAGGAGCCAGTTCGTAAACCTCAGCCGCGACCGAACCTTCAGGGATCAGGGCTTAAGGTTTAGGGTGTGAGGCTTAGGGTAAGTTTAGGGTTTAGGGTTCAGGGCTTAGGGTTGAGGGTCTACGCTACGAAACCTGAAATCGCTTCCTTGCCCAACACCGCAGTAACCTGTATGGGTTTACGTAGGGCTTGGGGGTTTACTGTAGGGCTTCGTAAAAAGCTAGTTTTGTAGGAATTCTTGTACCACCAAGAAGCCTAAAGGCTACGTACGCTACCACTAAGCCAGCCGTGTCAAGCGATGCTGGAAAAGGAGCCGGAAACGACGAGCAGCCCGAAGTAAAGGACGCCATCAACAAAACGAGTGGCATGCCGTCAGGCTGAGGCCCGACCAAGACAGCTGATTTAGGAACCAGGGATCTACGGTTTAGGGTTTAGGGTTTAGGGTTTAGGGTTTAGGGGATCTACATTCTGCAAAAAAGGCTATAAGAGCCTAAACCCTAAACCTCGGCCTAAACGAGACCCGTATCCCAGCGCTCCAAACCCCGAAGCTTCGAACACTGTGGGGGCCTTTGTCTGCAGGTAATGACCTGTGGATGTAGGATTCTAAACTCTAAACCCAACTCACGGCGCTGAACATATAGAATATTGAGTAATGTTCTTGGACAGTCTATAGTGTAAACTTTCGAAAAAAAGCCCTAAGAAACAAACTTGGCAGATTTTCAAAAACTCCAATGTAAACGCGAAACATCCCTCAACCGTCCCCAACCTTCACTCCGGTGCGTCAGGGGCGGTAAGCCCTAAACCTCTGAAGGAATCTGCTAAGGAACCCTTTTCCAGACCCGTAAACCCTAAACCCTGAACCTAATCTAGAACCCTTAGTGGAGCCCTAAATGGGGGAGCCGACCTGGCGCAGCTTCCGCTCCTGGTAGTGGAGGAAGGCCAAGTCAGAATCCTTGAAAGTCAAAGTCACACTATTTAACACACACAAGAGGAGTTGAAAACGTTCCGAATCACAGGCTCTACCCAGAGGCCCCAAAGTAGTTTCTTTTTGGGGTTCATATATAGAATATAGAATCCTATAGGATACTCCCAAAAAAGAACTACTTTGGGGCCTCTGGGTAAAGACTCAACTCCTCCACTCCGCACAACTGCAGTCAATCTTCAGCATTTGGGGCTTTCCGAAAATTAGGGGTACCTTATTTGGGGGGTCCTTATAATTAGGATCCTACTATTTAGTGTACTATATTAGGGTCCCCTATTTTCGGAAACCCCCATTTAACAGGGAAAGACAAATGCCAGGCCTAAACCCGAAACGGGGCTTGCGCCCTTCTGAAAAGCCCATGGACGAATCTTTTAATCCTATCAGAAATGTACCAGCAAGGATTACGCGTTCAGAACAGGCTGCACGTGGGAAAGTCCCCTCTAAGTAATTAGCGTTTATGGATTGGGGTCGGCGTCCTCCGCTCGAGCCGCAGTTTTTCAAGTCCTCCTAAGCCTAAAGCCTCAAACCCTGCCTAAACCCTAAACCCTCATGACACAGCACTGACTCGACGCAAAGCCGGAACTAACTACAACAACAGGTTTGGTGACACTACTGCAGTGCCATGCCCTTTACCATACCGCCCCTTTTGACTCGTAGAGGGTAGGCCGGAAATCTGATATATGCCTGAAGTGGACAATGATGCAAACCAACCTGTCTGGTTCTGAAACTTGCACAACACCTATGCAGGACACAACCGGTGCACTCTCGCAGTACTGCATGACCGCCCTATGCACCTGAACACGCCCTTTGCAGGGGAGTCCTGAACCCGTACTTTACGACGTCCTAAACCCTACCGCAAATCCTAAACCCTAAACCCTAAACCCCCCCTAAACCCTAAACCCTTAGATCTGGGCCCAGGTGCCAAGAAACGGTTCGAGAGCAGATGGATGAGCCTTCGTCTTCAAGCGTTCTAAGAGGTGGAGTCTTAGACTTGATTGGAAAAGGAACCCTAAACCTAAGCTTTGGAGTCTGAGGCTTGCTTCAAAAAGGAACCCTAAACCCCAAACTGCCCCCACCCTGTAGCAGTGGCATAATAGGAATATAATAGGGCCCCAATATTATCCTTATAGTCACTATTACAGGGTGGGGGGGGCAGCTTTTAAGCTTTTGGAGTCTGAGGCTTGCTTCAAAAAGGAACCCTAAACCACAAACCCCAAAACCCTAAACCCCTAAACTCTGCACCCCTGTAAACCCTAAACTCCAGACCCTGAACCCGAAAACTTCGCAAGGGTTCCGTGATGGTTGAAGGCTTAGTTCTTCGTCTACGGGTTTACCGGCTCAGGGTTTCAAGGGCTTCACAATTACCCGTAGATCCCCTAATATGGGGCCCTATACTACTAAGGGTACTTTATAGGAACCTGCATTAAAGGATCGACTTTTTGGGTAAGGGCTTCAGCATGCTAGGGAATTAGGAGGAGATTTTGGGCAGTCATGTACTCCTCTAGGCACCCCAGAATGTGCCGACACCTGGGGCTGAGGTGTTGGGTCTATGTGCCCAAGTAGTACATACTTTGGCCTTAACGTAGTCCCTATATGGATAATGTACTGTCCTTGTGCCCAAGTAATACATACTTTGGCCGTAAAGTAGTCCCTATATGGATACTTTGGGGCCAAACTATGTGCTATTTTGGTAAATGGACCCTTGCGGCCTCAGGGTTGAGTCCTTTCTTAACTCCATTATCACGCTAGTTGCTAAGCCCTCTGTTCCCTTAGGTGCATTAGCTGTAAAGGCACGATACACCTTGCCAACAGCTGCTATCACGGTTGTTTCTGTGAGTGCTTACATGTCGGGAGTTTACACACCACATTAACCACAACGCCAAAGGAGGAACAGCAGTTGCAGGTCACTCCCCGATTCTAGACCTGCAACCACTGGGAAGTTCGGAGCAAGCTTGTTTGCGTTTTGGTTGCATGGCCTACGGCACACCGACCTACGGTTGATGGTATAAATCCTGCATTACCTTAATGGCCCTAGACTATGGGAACCATGGTATATTCCTTATTATGGGTAATGCAGGATTTATATCATCAACCGTAGGTCCTATAGATCCCTTAAAGGAACCCCTTAAACGTACCCATCAACCGTAGGTCCAGTATGGTCCAGTTTTGCTGCGGTTCGGGTGTGCAGATGGCCGCTGTAACAGTTCTGTGCGCCCTAGGCAGGCCCAAACCCGAAATGCTGCCTAAGCCCAAGTCACGACTAGGGTTTAGGGTTTGGGGTTTAGGGTTTACTGACCATAACTCCTATGCCCCGAATGTCTGTGCATCTCGGAAGCCATGTTGGCAGAAGGCCTCGGCGTCTGTTCTTGAAGATTCACCGTGGCTTTCGGAATTTAAGAATGCTTTGTCTAGAGGCCCGTATAGGGGGCAGGTCCCTCATAGTCTGTGACTCCCCTGTGTATTCAAAGCTTCTTTATAGAGTGTTTCAGGGCTTGCCAAAGTCATGGGAATTGCTTGAAAGGTTATGAGCAATCAAAATGACATCATGGTTGAAGGCCTTAACAATTAGAATAGGGTTTTGGGGTGCATTATACTATAACTATAATCAGGAACCCCCAAGAAAGTGTAGGTATTTATGGAGGCCAAACCCGAACCATAATATGTGCAACCGTACTTACAGCAAAGGCAACGGCACGGCAAAATGGGTCTGCCCCCTGAGATCCGAAAACACCAAAACCCAAGCCCTAAACCCTAAACCCGAAAACCTAAACACTAAATTGGATATTATTGGGGATTATATAGGGACTACTCCAGGGATACATTCCCTCATTCCCTAGTAAGCACCAGACAGTGAACCCCTAAACCCTGAACCCTAATAAACAATAACTTCTTGACTACCGAATGGCCGTTGCGGGATCAGGGGCCTTTCAGGCGTGGCTTTCAATGTCTAGAAGTTAGATGAGAGGTTAAACCCTAAACCTTAAACCCATAAACCCTCAACTCTAAGGTCCTCTAAGACAACTGCTACACATTCTAGACAAAATTTTTCCTCCGCAGGGAAACAGTTCCCCAAGCCTCAAACGCGACGCAAAGCCTGAGACCCCTCCACCCCTCTCCGCAAAAAAAAACGAGCAAGCTTGTCTGAACCAAGCAGCGACGAATTCCCCCTTGCCCTGGACCGCGCGAGGATTCTTGGGGAGTTTAGGGTCCAAGTTTGGGCTTTAGGACTTGGTTGGGCTTACGTTTTGGGCTCAGGGCTCTAAGGGTTAGGGATTCTAAGGCTTAGGACTTGAAGATGTAGCGTTGGGATTATGGTGTGCTGCTGGGGTCTTGGGTGGCAATAAATTGAAAACCTGTACTTAGAGGCCCAGGGGACTTAGTAAGCAGGTTATAAGTAGGTTATAAGTACCCTAAATAGAGTTACCCCAAGTTAACCCTACTTAAAACCTACTTACTAAGTCCCCTGGGCCTCTAAGTTGTGTATTACTGCTACATTCTTTAGATCTCTTAGGTTATACTAGCTACACAGGAACCTTGGTAATTGAGCTCGAGACCCCACATCCTAAACATTGAACTTACTTAACTCCTAAACTCTAAACCTGTGCGCCCTAAACTGTAAACTTAAACCCCTAAGCACCAAGCTCTTAGCCCTAAGCTCTCAAACCGTAACCGTAACCCTGGACAATAAGCTACAAGCGCTCCTGGCACACGAACTTTCATTTCGATGCCTATACACGACTAGTTCGTTTTTTCCGATCATCCTTCTATTGCTGCCATAAATAAGTGCATATACTAATGTGTGCATACACTGATCTAGAGTAAACCCTATGTTCATAGGTAATTATGTGGTTACACGTCGAATCCAACTACAAATGCTACAAAAGCTACGAATACAAATGTAGACACTGTGCATGCACGCGGAAACATGAACATGAAGACAAAACAGGTATGTACCTATAAACATGAACAAATATGTCTGCATACATACACGTTTGAACTGTCCGTATACCGTATAGAGCTGCATCATACATTCCATGAGTGTATGTACGCATGTATGTATGTATGTATGTATGTATGTACGTATGTACGTATGTACATATGTACGTACGTACGCATGTATGTGTGTAGGTATGTGAATAGGCATATCCACTAACATGTGAATACAAATAGCACCGTGCACACACAAACGAATAGAGTTAATCAACGATGATACTTGTGGTAGCTGTAATATTGATAGGGATACTGCATAGATACTTTAAAAATTTAAAACAACAAACTACACAAACAAACCACCAGCCAGCCAACCAAACAAACGAACACGTGTGCAGGTATGTAAATATGTACGCTTGCACATCGTAAAGCCCAAATGTGAGACCCTAAAGCTGCAATGCTTGACAGTAGGCCCGAAGTCCTGAATCATAGTGAAGCCCATCCGGAGCTGTTACTTGCAGCGACACCGGCAGAAGCGGTCAGCGGCCCAGGGGCCAAACAGGGTGACTGAACCAACACATTACCTAGAGGGTCATACCCCTCCCCTTTTTTAGGATACCTAGTGTTATGGTTAGGTTCTCTTATACAGAAAAAAAGTAGGTACCTTAACAAAGGGGTAGGGTATGACCCTGTAGGTAAGTCATCAAGTAGTGACCGTGGCACCGCATTGAATCCTGAACCCTGGCCCCCAAGCTATTGAAGAACACAACCTAGCAATAGAGGAAGCTGCCCTGACAGAGGCGGCCTGGCATGCCGGCATCGAATAGGATCAGGCCTGTGGTTGCTTGAGAGCCGCAAGAAGGTTAGGGGCATGTCTATGCGGGGGAAATGCGTGCCAATTATCCGACCCTAAACCCTAAACCCTAAACCCTAAACCCTAAACCCTAAACCCTAAACCCTAAACCCCTAAACCCCTAAACCCGATTCCAATATGAGAGCATAGGGTTTCGGGTCTGGGGGGGGCAAGTGCTTGAAGATATGGCTCAGGCTGGGTGCGCGCTGGTTTGGGACTTGTTCTGGGAATCTGAGGAATGTGGATAAAAGACCCGAGCAGCCTCAGCCATTATGGAGTTATGGTGCACTGTGCGCTTCGGGACTTGGGGATTTCGAGATGCGTATCGGAGATTTGTTGCCGTTCCGTCTTTCGCTGCATGATTCTTGGATTTTTGTTTCGGACATTACTGTTCTCAAGCTTCACGAAGGAAAGCAGGGTTTTGCCTAACATCTTCGGAGCGTTTCGACACTTTGGCCGCGAGATTAGTCCTCCCATCCGATGAGGGGTCCAAGAACAAAGGGGACCCCGGGTGGTCTGGTTTAGGGTCTGGGTTTTGTTTTTTGAAAAAAAGGGTCTGTGGTTTGGGGTTTAGGGTTTTAAGGTTTATGGTTTGGGCAACTGAGGGATTCGGGATGCCTGCTTTCATGAGGGTGCAAACGCAGATGTGTATCACGACGACGATGCAGCTGAAGATGAGAAATGGTGCAGCAATGACAACCGCCTTGATGACCATGAAGATGAACTGCTCGATATGGGTATCATGATGGTGGTGATCATACCAACTAACTAGAACTGCTAGTACCCGTAATGCCGGAATGTTACTCGTTCAGTTCATGAATGCCCTGCTAAACTAAAATTGAGCTGTTGTGTTCGGTATAGGGTTTGGGGTTAATGGCCAGGTTTCTTTAAATCCGATGTGGGAGCTTCCGAAATTTAAGGGTACCCTATTCGGGGCTCCTTATAATAAGGATCCTGCTTTTTCGGGTGCTTCTTCATTTCGGAAACTCGGATATCGCGCGACGAGTGGCGGGACCAGCCGGGCCCAACGGGGATGCAACAGACGTTGAGGCCTGGCGGCAACCGGCAGAAGGAATCGATCAAGGTTCCACAAAAGGCTGCTTTGAGGCTTAAGGGTGCTTCAAGGGATCAAGGTTCTTAAAATGGTGTACTTCTACCCTGAAACAAAGAACCCGGGTCATACTGCTGGGAAGCTGAATTAGGGTTAAACCCTAAACCCTAAACCCTTTTTTCAAAAACCCCCAAACAGATAGACTGCACTTTGCGATGCAAGGTTGTTGCTGTAAAGGGTTTGCGGCAGCTGTGGGCACTCACCAATCTGTAGGGGGGGTTACAGAAATCAGGCTCCTTTAAGGGTTCCTAATTTAAGGGTGCCACAAGGGTTCTATAGGGCTTAGGCTTAAAGGTCCATGTGCACAAGTAGTACGTACTTAGGCGCGGCAGTTTCTGTATAGCCAAGGCGAGCTCCTCTGTGATGTGCTGGTGCAGGACTATCCTGGACTATCGTAGGGTTTAGGGCTTAGGGTTGATGTGACGGTACCTCAAACTAACAGGAATCAGTCTATTGTTGCGATCATAGAAGTTTACCCTCGGACAGTACACGGACAGGTCCTGGGAGATTACGTTTAGCAGACAAAGTCTGCAATAAATCTACACCCGTATACCCCCAAACTCCGGAAGCCTCAACCCTAAACCCCCAACCTCTAACTCAACCCTGAGTTCGACCCCTGAACTTAAACCCCTCAACCCCTACATCCTAAAACCTGTGGTGGAAGCCCTCCCCATTTCAATGGCGTAACTCTGTGCAGTGAACTTCTGAACCGAGGTCCTGCAAGGCCAGAAGAGTCGTTCTCCAAATTAGGGTCCCGTTTTAGACCAAAAAACAGTGCGGCACCCTTATGAAAAGGACCCTTGAAAGGACGCTAATTTAGACCACTACGCACAAACTCGAGATGAGATGCGTTCAGCATGCTGGCAGGTTTTAACTAACGGTTTGATGGGAGATTCAGGCTTGTGGGTTCAGCTCGTAAGGTTTGGGGGGTTCAGGATTCATGGTTCAGGGTTTAGGGTTCAGGGCTTAGGGTTTAGGGTTTGGGGCTTGGGGTTCAGGATTTAGGTCTTTGATGATTCAGGGCTTTAGGCATTAGAGTTGAGGGTTTGAGGTGTCGGAATCAGGGTCAAGGTTTAAGTCGTAGTGCTGGGTTTTTAGGGACCTGAACCTGAATCCCAGAAGCTGAATCCAGGACGTCCTAGCCAAAGACTCAGAGGCTTCAATTGCATACCCAAAGGGCCCCAAAGTAGTTCCTTTTGGGGGTTCATATTTAGAGTTCTATAAGGTAATCCCAAAATGGAACTACTATGGGGCCTGTGCATAGGCACGAGCATCATCAAAATTCCTTCCAGGAGTAAACAAGTCGGAGGGCGGAAGCGGCGCTTACCATCCTTGCATTTTGGGAGTTTGGATTTGGGTTTAGGGTTTAGGAGTTAGGATTAGGGGTTTTAGGGTTGAGGGTTTAGGGGGACCCTTGGGGATATAGACCCTCTCAATAAGGTTCCAATTAGAAGAGTCAGAAATAGGGTTCGGAAGGGGTACCATGCTACCCCGCGATTGGTTCAGGGTCTACGTCTACGTCCAGGGTTGAGGCATCCTACTTGGGGGGTCGGGGGACTTAGTAAGTAGTTAGTAAGTAGACTTATAAGTACCCTAAAAGGGACCCTAATTGGGGTTATGGTACTTATAAGTCCCTAAAATAACCAGTTACTAAGTTCCCCCGACCCTCCAAGTAGGGGCCAATCCGACTCTGGTTCTGGGGTGTTGCGGGTTGTGAGGGAATCGAGCCCTTGAGAACCTGGGGCTCAGGGGAGCAGGGAGTCCGGTGTAACATAGGACCTTAATCATTCGAACAGGGTGTTGGGGGTATATTACTAAGGGAGTCCGGGGTAACATAGGCCTTAATAATTCGAAGAGGGTTTGGGGGGTATATTACTATTCTAATTATTAAGGCCCCTACACTCCTAATCTACTGAGGCCGTAGAAGGGCTCAGGAGCTTACATTTGTCTGTTGACCGAAAACCCCATTCATCATGTCAATGTGTAGATTATAACTACTATCAAATATTTCGACTTCCACGACGACGACGACGACGACCTCTCCTGCTACGCCGCTGCTGCAGCTGCTCCTCCTGCTGCTACTACTAGTCCTCATCCTGGTCCTCCTCCTACTGCAACCATTGGTACTTCTGGTAGGAGAACCACTACCCCCTCCCGCTCACTACCACCACCAGTATTACCACTGCCACTACCACTACGACGACGACTGCTGCTAAAGCTATTGCTGGTGTTCCTGCTCCCGCTCCCGCACCCGGTCCCAGTCCTGCTGCAGCTCCAGCTTCTGCTGCTGCTACTGCTACTTCGACAACAACTCCTATTCCTGTACCTGTCGGCCATCATGGTCCCAGTCGCCGCATCAGAGCCCCGCCGCGCGGCAAACTTCCTGAGTAGCATGCATGCGGATTTAAGCTTTGGGGTTTCCAGGCTTTGCAGATAACGACATAAGCCTAAAACAACCCCTAAACCCTACCCAGGGGACCCAAAGAAGTTCCTTTTTGGGTGTGTCCTCTTTTTTGGTTAGGGACTCTAATATACTACCCAAACAGGAACTACTTTGGGGCCCCTGGGTAAACCCAAAACGCAAGCCTTAAAGCCTAACTGTCAGACGTAGGGCCCTGAATCAAAGGGGGAAAGGAGGGACCCTTAATGGGGACCCTTACCCTATAATGGGCTATATAATGGGTATATAATAGATATGTTAAGGGTATATACCTAGGGGTCCTTATTAAGGGTCCCTCCTTTTACCCTTGGACTGAAGACACAAGGAAGCGATGATAAACGTAAAGAAGCCCTTGCAAGCAAAGCCTTCCTTGGGGTTTGCAGTGCCAAAACAACACTAAACCCCGTAAAGCCCCAAACTTTAGTATTTCCACGATGATGACAACTATTATTGTTACTATTGTTATTAATACTACTGAACCCAAGAAGCTTGAGACCCCAAAACTTTAATTCACACAATCCCGACCCCTCTTACAACCTGCTTCTAAAACAAGGCGCTGCAAATATTCAGTAAGGTTACTCGCATCCCAATATTCAAGCTCTAAATATATCCAGACACTTCACTTCAGCTAAAACACACTGCAAAATCCCGGTACGGTCCCATGACGTGCAGTAACCCCCAAATATAAGCCTCGCTCATATGGGGAGTCCGAACCGATTATGGCCCCTCCCTCCCCGTTCGGGTCCTGGTAAGCAACTGCTGTGAGAACAAGGCCCAGGCTCCCCTTTTGAAGTTTAAAAGTTTCGGCTGACTTTGGGTCTGGGCTTCAGGGTTTGAAGTAACTTGAGGTTTAGTGTTAAGGTTTTAGGTCCGCAGTACTAGGAGCCTCTCGAAACCTCATACTGGCCCCTGCCGCCACCACATTCGCGACGATCGCCACTTCATGTGGCACTCTCCCGGAACCCAGGACTGCACGAAGTATCGGTGCCCAAACGCGAAACCCTGAACCCTAAGCCCTAAACTCTACAACCTAAACAGTAACATAAATCCTAAACTCTAAGCCCAAAACTGAACCTTAAACCGTTAACCCCTTACCCTAACCTTTAAACCCTACATCTCAACCTTAAGCCCTAATCCGTTCACCCTATACTATACCTGTACCCCAAGCGTACTTGGAGGGTTGGGGGACTTAGTAACTGGTTATTTTAGGGACTTATAAGTACCATAACCCCAATTAAGGTCCCTTTTAAGGTACTTATGAGTCTACTTACTAACTACTTACTAAGTCCCCCGACCCCCCAAACGTAACAACGACCAGACCTTCGCTCTGACTCTAAGCTTCAGCACAGCTTCTCGTACTCTTCTTTCGAGTCGGTCTCTCCCAGGAACCTTACAGGTTTAGAGTAAGGCTCAGGGTCTTTGAGTTAGGGCTTAGGGTTCAGGGTCTAGGGTTTAGGCTACACCGATCAGAGACGCATAAAATGTCAGGGACTCAGCAAGAGAAACTTAGAGTTTAGGGGTTCTGCGGCTCTAAAGCCCTAAACCCTAAATCCTAAACACAAAGCCCTAAACTGGGATTCTACAACCTTTTAGATTCATAGCACTAGGGTTGGAGCATCGGGCTGCGCGTCCATGTCAGGTTGCCCTAGCACTTAGGTTGTGCGAGCAAGAAATCAGGATGGAAATTAATAACAATAACACTAATACTCTGCTGGTTCTTGCCCCTGCTAGTTTCGCATTGGCTTTGATATTGGACAAGGGTTTATGAACTGCAAGAAACTTGCAAGCCTCTTGGATCCATTAGTTAATGAAACTTATGATTTTCAGTAGCCTCCTGGGTTTGTAACTGTATAAAGCGAGAATGAAGAAAAGTAATTCCTCGGGGGGGTACAGGAGCGACATGGTTTGAGTCTAGCCCTGCATGGCTCGCTCAAGCCTCACGCTCTAGACACGCCTGTGAAGCAACAGAACCACAATGGCTTGTTTTGGTCAGTGCTAGGGCAAGGTCTGAGCTGAACATGTCCTGCATGCCCATAAGCCCGACCGAGGCAACCGTGAAGTTGGAACATGGCAAGGAGAGATGTTGTGCTACTCGTCCTATGGCTTTAGGCTGTAAGGTTAGACTGTAAAAACTTCCTGGCCGCTACTGCACACCCTGGAACTCACTAAACTACCCGAACCCTAGAATGCAAACCTCCAAACCTAAGCACTAAACCCACCCGCCACCCAGGACCCAAGCCCTAAAACACATGTCAAACCCCTCCACAGACCCGGAGTAAACAATCCTCAAAAGTCCTATTAAGCCAGAAACTTGAAACACCCAAACCTGAAATCATCCGAACTCTGCACTGCGTATGGCCCAAAATACCGACTACAGCATCGGCTTCACTGCGTTTATCTGCTTTTGTACTGATTTAAGCTTCTAGGGCTAGGGTTCTACTCTCTGGTTTCAAGTCCACTCGTATACATCGGAAGGACAAGCGCTTGGGCCCAGTGGGCCACCTGTGGCCAAACCTCTTCTGTCTGGTTCTTAGTTCCCCACATTGGCCTTTAAAACTTTAAGTAGTCCCTATACCTGGGCCCTAATTATAGGGGCAATTCCCCCAACCATGCTCCCTCTTGAACCCCTAATCTACCTAGACCCTCCATCTACCCTCTATTAGACCCTAAGTACCCATTATTTGGGACGATATACCCCTATTTGAGGGTACAAGGAGGGTCCTGGTAGTCTCCATAATCCAAACCCCAATTCCCTACTAAGAACCAGACAGTCTTGCGGAGTAGCGGAGTGGACAGAACGGCTGGCTACCGGAGTATTGGGCATGCCGTTTTGTATCTATACTACACGGAGGAACACCACGCCACTTCCGATTGCGAGGCCTTAGCGGTGGACCAGTGGGGGGTTTGCAACAGAGCCTCTTGTGAGGCAAACTTTCGTTCTACTGCAGTATTTTCGGCAGCTCCACGCCTCCGAAGCCAAAGATTCAAGGCTCTAAACCGTGCCTGAACAGAGAGAGCCCAAGGGGCCCTTCATTGTTTCCAAAACAAGATACCTTCTACCGTATCGTATCTTGTATCGCTCAACAAGATAACCCAGCTCCTTAATTGAAGGCTTTCAAAGGTAATTATTGGACTTTCGGCAAACCCCAAAGCCTACTAAACCGGATAAAAGCCGAATAGCCTTTGGCAACTTAAAGGGCTGAGGGCTCCACTCTCCGAGGTAGAAGAAGAAGAACGGCGATCGCAGTGAGAAATTCGCCTCGCGCTTGAGGCCTGTCGGTGTTCTGGCGATTTCGGAGGCTTGGGGTTTTGGGGCTTACGGTTTAGCCTCTGGGAGTTCGCGGCTACCCCGTGGGGAGGAGTTTCAGGCAGGCTCAGTATTGGTGTAGAGATTGTGTTTGAAAGATACAGAAGGGATTCCGGGCGTCTTGGAGGAGGATTTGATTTTGGACGGGCTTGAGTCAGGCCAATCGTGGCAGCCATGGCTTCTGTCTGCAACGTTTTTCCCTAAACCCTAAGCCCTGAGTCCAAAACCCAAAACTCTAGACCTACACTGCATCCTGCACCATAGGCTTTCGGTGCTACTCGATCTCTTGACCCCCACACGAGGCAGCCCTGACTTGAGCAAAAGGGCCGCTTGTCCGAAAGGCCCTAACCTCCAAGTGCCCAGAGATCCCAATACCCCTTGAATTAAGGAATATGCCTCAAATCATAATCTTCAGGCCTCTGTACTTTAAGGTACACTCCTTAGTTAAGGGCTATTGGGTTCTCTGAGTATTCGAGGTTTAAAAATCACCTTCAAGAACCCATGAGTTCTGTGTCTACAGGCAAGAAGCCATGGATTTCAGATTGTACATTTTATACAACTGTTCCTGAGCGACGGTATCGAAGCTTCAGCAAGCTGTGTGTTCAAGAGCAGGAAATGAAATGCCGCAAAAGCCCTCTGTCTACTGATGAGAATAGGGTTCGGTCTATATACGATCATATAATACTTCTTCGAAAAACGAACCCCGAAGCCACTGCCTGCCAAAGACCCTATACGCTACATACCGAAGGGCTAGTTCACGAAATTAAGCTTCCGTTTTTAAGCCACCAAAATATCACAGCACCCTTCTGAAAGAGAGAAAGCGATAGAGAGTCATAACTTTCATATATCCTTCAGCCCAGTCCAAGAAGCCCATGGTCCGGTCCCAGAATGTGAAGTTCAGAAGGTCTCCAATCCTGAGCTAGGGTTCAGGGTTGTGCTTTTCCAAAAGATGCTTCAATGCTACAAGTATCTCAAGAAAAGACCTTCCTCAGCTCCTAAACTAAACACCAAACGATGGACTGTTTCAAAAAGAGCCACAAGGTGGTGCGGGCTTGAGCTGGGGTTTTGAGCATGACCTGGGCCTTAACTTCGGCCAGAAGCACTGAGAACAGGCTTTCGCATGTCTCATGTCCCCTGTTCGGACCCCTACACCGGTTTATCAATTCCCTACAAACATTAAAGCCTTGCCGAACACCCTCACGCTGCCCTTGTAAAACACCGGCTCCGCTTGATTCCCCCCTGCCATAAACCCCAAGCGCTTAAACTCCTAAACTCCGAAAGCTTAAAAACCCTCAAAACCGTAAAAAACCTAAAACCCAGAGCAGCAATAACTAAACCCAAAAAGCTAGAATCCTTAGTGTCCAGGCAGCTCTGTTGACTCCTTGGTGTCTGGGATGGTCATGGAGATCGGAATCGCATCATCTCGAGTTCCTGCAGGATGGAGGCTCTTGCGTCTCTAGGCGCTCAAGGGTTTTCAAGTATTGGGTTGAGGGAGTAGGGTTGAGGGCTTTGGGATTGGGGTTCAAGGTGGTGTTCAGGACGTAGGGTTTCGGTTTGGGGTTTGGGATGCGTGGGGTTCGGAATCTCGGGGAGGTCGGCTTGAAACCCTCAGAAAAGAAGAAGAGCACACCAACTGCAGGAATGTGTCGGTTTGCATGATGGGTTTGATGGCTAGAAGCGACTCCCCATTTCAACGGTTCAGGATTTGGGACTGAAGTTTAGGCTTTGGAACTTGGGATTTGGGGTTTAGTGCGGATCGTTTAGGCTTGAGGGTTTAGTGCTTTTGAATCTCAGGGTTTAGTAATTTGAGGTCTTGTCCAGTCCATGGACGCAAGAAAACATGTTCATCCGTTCACAAAAACTTTAAAAACCTTAGCCTTAGACTTCACTCCTCCACTCGCAGCTCCCCTTTGAGCCTTAGAGTGTCAAACAAATCCAAACCCCCCAACCAAAGATCTGGGCTCTGATCCGAACTCAAGTTGAGACCGCTCCCGTAAGCCTTAAACCCGAAAAACAAAATATGGGGGGGGTTCTTCATAATTAGAATAGGGCTGTGGGGTGATGGGGGCGAAGGGTATTGAATCGTCCGGCGCCTGGCTTTTGCTGGTGGTCTGTTTTCGAAAAAGTGCTACGAGAGCACAACCTGAAAAGACAAGGCAGCAACCTAAGCCCGAAGGTAGTGAAGTAACCCAGCTAAGTTAAACATGCCCGCTGTTCGATGGGCCGGTCCGTTGCGTTCCCCTTGCGCCCTCTCCTCATCGCAAACGTGGCAGCAGGATATATGGACGATTAATAGCATGACTTGTAACTTCGGCTCCAAAATCCGACTATGAGCGGCCAAATGCCACGAGTCAGGTGGATAGCGAGGTGAAGTAGAAGCCTGAGAAATGCCGCAAGCAGGAGTGTCGTCAAGTTTTCGCTTCCCCGACGAACCGTCAAACATAAGCTCGTCATTAACGGATGTCTCAACCGTAGTTCCACACGTATTTTCCCACGTTGCGGAATGCTTGGCCAAGCTTGGCATTGTTACACATCGGAGCTGCAACTGTAGTGGCCTCAACCGTGCTTTCCAAGGGCGCCCGAGCAGCACGGCGCCTCAGGCGGTTCAGCTTCCGTTTGGCTTGGCGTGCCTCACGGAGCTTCAGCCTCTGTTCATCACCAGAAGCAGCCATGCCATTGATTGGGAACACGGAAGGGCGGGGCAGCAGTAGCAACATCTTGCCATAGCATGGATGCCGCTACTGCCGCTGCAACCGCCGCCATTGTCCGACGGGGAGCCTTAACAGCGCATGCCGCTTGTGCGGCCATGCCGGACCATCACCCACGAGCACTTCGCCCCTGTATCCGTGCACACAAGGGGAGCTGCACGGCTCTGCTTTCGCTCGGGCCTTAGATTAGGGATTTTGGGTAGGTTATTTTTTTTCTTCTACTGACTCTACTAGCACCTCACATTTGAAGGCTTGGGAAATACAGTTTAAAAGGGCTCGCAAAATTCAGCATCGAACTCTTAATGACTAGGACAATTATGGCGCATTCTTCCTTGCAGATGCTTGCATCAACCTTCTCAAGAAGAATCAATTCAGTGTCTTGGGTTAGTGTATCTGCCTCCGTTGCTGGGCAGTTGCTGGGGTAGCCTAAGCCCGGCAAGACATGGTTTGGGTGGGCGGAGTTAGGATTGTGACACATGCGCAGACCCACTGACCAGTGTATGGAGGGTGCCGAGAGCACCCGCATGACAAACCCTAATCCCTAAACCCTAATACCGTAAACCCGAATCCCTAAACTCTGAACCCTAACCCCCCTAAATCCCTAAATCCCTAAACCCTAACCCCTCAACCCTAATCCCTCAATCCCTAAACCCCACAACCCCGAGGGCCTTGGAGTCCATGGTGGGCAAAGGGTACATGGGACACGTCGATGAGGTTCTCCAGAAGGCTGTCGTAGCCTTGGCTCAGGGATTAAGGGTTTAGGGGTTTAGGGGTAAGGGTTTAGGGGTTTAGGGATTAGGGGGGTCTAGGGTTTAGGGATAGAAGGCTGTCGTAGCCGTGGCTGAGGGCATTCGACCAAAGACAGTAAAATATACATGTGTGTGTATATTATATATATACACATATATATATATATATATATATCAAACACTGTTTATGATAAAGATGCATAGCTAGAGCTTAGGATTCAAGCCTTCGATGTTACGTGCAGTGGGCACAGGCTGTTGGAGTTTTTACTGGAGTCTCAAGGTCACTTCAAGTGATCTGTGCGACACGGTGACCGACTAACTTTGCGACACAAGCTACGGTGAGTCTGCTGCGAATGTTTCTTTCACCGGCTGTGAACAGTAAATGTAAGCTGCAAGGCCGAACCTAAGCCCTGAGCCCCGTGGCGCTCAGACCAATCCTTCAGCAAGTCTTTAGGACAAGAAGGGCTTTGGAAAAAGCCTAAACTTTTGGGGTTTTGGGCATTTACGGCTTTCGGATTACGGTTCAATAGATTCCATACGTCGGACTGGACCCAGCTTCCGAGCAGCCGTAGGGCAAGTCCCGGGTGTAGCTGCCGAGGATCTCCATCTCGTCCAGATGCGTACCTGGCCCGTAATGGAATGGGGTTTAGGGTTTAGGGTTTAGGGTTTAGGGTTTAGGGTTTAGGGTTTAGGGGTTTAGGGTTTAGGGTTTAGGGGTTTAGGGGTTTAGGGGTTTAGGGGTTTAGGGGTTTAGGGGTTTAGGGTTAAGGGGTTTAGGGTTTTGGGTTTTGGGGTTTAGGGGTTTAGGGGTTAGGGGTTAGGGGTTTTGGGGTCTTGGGTTTAGGGTTTAGGGGCTTAGGGGTTTAGGGGTTAGGGGTTTTGGGTTTTGGGTTTAGGGTTTAGGGGCTTAGGGGTTTAGGGGTTTAGGGTTTAGGAGTTTAGGGGTTTAGGGGTTTAGGGGTTTAGGGGTTTAGGGCTTGGGGAGCAGATTTGTAGCTTTAATCGGGTTTTGGGGCTCCTGCATTGTAGTTTAGAAGGGGCCCCCACCCTGTAATAGTGGTATAATAGGACTATATTAGGGTCCCAATATAATCCTTAGAGTCACTATGACAGGGTGGGGGCCCCTTCTAAATTAAAATTATAGGATAAATATACGCCCAAGCCTCATTCTAGTTATTATGGCCAATACATTATGTGCAACAACAAAATCAGTTTGCAACCTGCCGAGAAGCATTCAAGTGAAGATTCAGTTCGGACTGGGTGTTCAACCAAGAAGGTCCTGTGCCACAGACACTGCTACTCAGCAGCGTCCCCTTGAAGAGAGCAGACTGTTGACATACTTTAGGGCTAAGGTCTTAATAATTAGAATAGGGTTTTAGTGGATACTATACTTTTATTACAATAAGGAACCCCAAACATAGCATAGGTAATTATTTAAGCCCTATATTTTTCATGGTGAAGAGTGAAGCTTGAAACAGCTAGTATAAAGCTTCAAACCCTAGCCATCGAAGCTCTCTCCGACATGAAACACCTTCAACAAAAACCATCCAAAACCCAAATCCCCAATTCAAGTTCCAAACCGGAAACCCCTGAACCCGGGAAGCCCTGAAAGCCTAAGCCCTAAGACCCAAAATGCAGGCAAGGCGCCGGTGACCAGCTCTCCCGGTGAGCCCTTGGGCTCCGATTCTCCTGGCGGGAGCTATGTTGAAGAGTTATGGCTGATAGTTTAAGGCTTAAAGGGTTAAGGGTTTAGAGCTTCAGGGCTTTGGGCTTGAAGGGTTGAGGCGATAGAGCTTAAAGGGTAAAGGGTTTAGCTTAAAGGGTTCAGGGCTTAAAGGGTTCAGGGTTTGGGGCTTAAAGGGTTTAGGGTGAGGTTTGGGGCTTGCGGCCTAAAGGGTGCATGGGGCTTAGGGCTTAAAATTTAGGGTTCAGGGTTTACGAGTGCACGGGTTTGGCAATGAAAGTTTGGGGCTTGGCGTCACTTTGGGATTCCTTTTAGGCCGCTATGCAATTGATGATGAGAAGAAAGGCCCGCGCATGTCCCCAAGCCTCAACCCTCATCCTTCAACTCAACCCCAAATTCTACACTCTAATATAGAGGCCTTAGCAACTGGAACAGGGTTTTGTTTGTAGATTATGATTATACGACAACTTACTATACTCATATTGAGTAATCCAAAAACAGTAAGTTATTTTGCCCCCTATATTGCATCCTACAGACCCATCGCATCCGAGGGCGTTTGAGGGAACTCCCCTTGGTTCAAGGTCTACGCAGGTTTCAGGTCAGGGCAGAAGGTTGCCGCCAACCCTACTGAACCCTAAACCCTAAAACCGTAGGTCCTGAACCCGCAACCGAAGTTTAAGGCCACCGGAGATAGAAGGGTTTGCAGCCTGGAATCGGTCTCCTCCTGACTCTTTGGAATGGGAATCCGAGAAATACCCTGAAAAGCCTACGCGCAAAGCTCGAAACTCGAAACCATTTCAATAGAGAACATCGGGCGGATTCCAAATCCAGGCCAAAGCGCTTGTTCTGGGTTTGCGGTCCCAAGGCTATCCGTCTCGGGCAAGATTCTCTGAACTTTTTGTTCATGCACAAGCCAAGATCAGCACCAGTGCAGGTTTAGCTCTTTCAGCAAGCCCGCTTTTTGGAACACTAGCCCTAGCCCCTGCCCCGAACAAACCTCAAACCTCCATTCTCGACAACGATCCCAAAGCCGTCTGCCCTCCCTTAAGCCGACAGCCTACTCTAAACGCGCCTAAAACCCAAATCCTACTTCAACCCTCGAACCCAAAGCCGAATCCCGAAACCCTGCATTCCGGACCTTACACACAGGCCGCAACCCTAAAGCCTGAATCCTAAACACACCAGCACCATAAACCCTATGCGCTACTTCAACCCTGACTCGAGTGTTCCTTTGTAGTGCTGGTCGGTAAGAACAACGAAGAAGGAACAGCTCATTCAACAGTAGTTGTGCCTTTGTTTACTATGGGTAGTTCTCTAAGTTAGGTCCCCCTTTGAGGGTCCTTTTCTAAGGGTGCCGTACTAGCTTTGGGACCTAACGGGGATAGAATCCAGAGAGCTGCCCTTCTGGTCGCGCAAAGGGCTTTAGGACTTCAGGCGTTTAGGTGTTCAGGGGTGTAGGGGCCTAGGGATTTAGAGGCTTAGGGTTTGCGTAAAGAGCTAGCTACCCAAAACCCTAGACTCCTAAACCCTCATGGGCTTTCGGAGCTTTCGCCAAGGCGCCGAGCCAGACCCAGACGAGCTTCAGTGCCACCGTGGTGGGAAAAGAGCGCACCTCTGAAGAGAAGGGGCATGGGGTTTAAGAGTTTTGGATTTTAGGGTTTAAGTTTAAAGTTTTGGATTTTAGGGTTTAAGGGTTTAGGGTCTAGTAGGCTTTAGGGTTTAGGGGTTTAGAATTGGGTTTATTTGTTTAGGGTTTAAAAGTTTCGGATTTGAGGGTGAGGGCGTAGAGAAGTAGGGCTTTAGGGCTACAGGGCTTACCTGTGACCTCAAACCAGGTTATGACCCTTACATTAGAGGGTCGAACCCTTAAACCGGTAGGTTTTCGGATCCCAAGGTAAGGGTTAGGGGCCTTTGGGTTCAGGGTTTCAAGGCTTTGGATTGTAAAGTCAAGGGAATAGAGCTTTAAGGTCAAAGGGCTTAAGGGATTGGTGTTAAAGGCATAAGGATTTAGGGTCTAGGGCTTTGGGCTTACGGGTTAGGAGCTTTGGGTTTAGGGTTTTCGGTTAAGGGTTTAAGGCTTTAGGGTTTCAGGGTTTCAGGGTTTAGGGATCAAGCGTTTTTAGGGTTAAAGGTGTAGGGCTTTCGGGTGGGGTTCAGGGCTTTGGGTTTAGGGCTGAGGGTTTAGGATTAAGGCTCGGTTTAGGCTTAAAGGGTTAAAGGTTTAGGGTTTAAGGCTTAGGCTCAGGCTTTCGGGTTTAGGGTTTAGTTTAGCAGGGTATAACGGAAGTGTGTCGAATGAGGAATCATACGTAGTCATATACTCTTATAGCCTCTCTATCATAATACTATAACAGACCACCAAGACCTATTGTCCTTACTAAGGGCCACCTATTTAGGCTTTGGGGTTTTCGGGAGCGAAGAGTATGAGTGCTTTAGGATTGGGGGTGAAGGTTTCATTCTTTAGAGGTTGACTTCCGGGTTTGGGAGTATATCCAGAAGCAAAGCCCCCTTGTTGAGAAATATACCTTCAACTATAGAGAGGCTTTGATCTGATTTCAGGGGCTACTCAACTACTGGGTTCTTGAGTGCTCCCGGCAATACGGTGAGGAGCATCACAATGGTGGTGGTGATGGGCGTCAACACCGACAAAGTTTGATGACATACAGAGCTTAGCAAGTGTCACCTCGTAACCGACACAGGACGCCTTGGGGCATGTTCGGCTAATCAGGCAAGTTGTCAGGAGTACCTTCCTGAAGAAAGGTGCCCTAAACCCTAAAACCTAAACGGGTCATGTTAAAAGCTCAAAAACCCTAAACTCCAAACCCTAAATCCTAAATCCTACACCGCATGCAGCACAGGGAATATCGGATCATTGTGAGCCGGAAGCAAGGCTTTGAGATCTTCCGTGATCTTCCGAGCACACTACTTGGGGGGTCGGGGGACTTAGTAAGGGCTCCTTTATAGGGGATTCTAAGGGCTCCTTTAAAGGGCTCTATAAGGGAAGTATAGGGTTTAGGGTTTAGGGGGACTTAGTAAGTAGTTAGTAAGTAGACTTATAAGTACCCTAAAAGGGACCCTAATTGGGGTTATGGTACTTATAAGTCCCTAAAATAAACAGTTACTAAGTCCCCCGACCCTCCAAGTAATGTAGGGGCCTTAATAACCAGAATAGGGTGCCGTTAAAGGGCTCCACAAATACTACATACGGGGCCTCAATAGTTAGGATAGGGTTTCAGGGGAACTATGATACGGCCCCTATATTAGCTATGTAGGGTCTTGAAAGGAACCGCTTGAAGACACTAGGCCCTATACCTCTACTCGCAGAATTCTACATCAAGCCAATCAGCACATGAGTTATGAACTTCCCGTCGGCCCCGACCCAACATGAGGACGGAAGTGTGAACCGCACATCTTTTGAAATCCTCGACCCTCATCCCCCCAAACCCACAATCATGGAAAACAGTTTAGGTTTAGAGTTCTGGCTATTTGGGTGTGAGGTTTAAAGATTAGGGCTTCTGTCACCAGTGCAGGGCTTCTGATGTAGCATCTAGGGCTCATGGTCGAGAGCTTCGAGTGTCGAGTCTACTGTTCGGGCTTTAGGGTCAGTGTTGTTTAGGGTTTAGGGTTTAGGGTTTAGGGGCCTTGGGGTTTAGGGCCTTGGGGTTCCCCGGTGTACGAAAAGAAGGTTCAGACGTTCAGGATGGTCGCAAGAATTTGGGGGAGTCCGGCAGATTGTGTTCATCAGATCGTAGGCGCTTATGTCCAAGATGGGTTTAAGGCCTTGTTAGGGTTCAGGGTTCATGGCTCATGGTCTACGCGATCTTCACCTGCTCTGACCCACCGGGCATAGCATCGGCCGGGGGCAGCACACGTTACGACCTGGTTGTCCGGCGACGACAGGATGCCAAGAAATTGAACCGGCAATCCTTCATCGTATCTTGTATAGCCGCTTCAACCCGTTCCCTGCGTTCCGCCTCGGAAGTGGGAAATGTATCGCCCGCCGTCACGAAGATGGGAGCAGGCTTGGTAAAGAAGACATGAGATAGGGCCCCACGAAAGCACATAAGAAAAAAAATAAGGATAGGGATATCCCATATAGACCATCTTAAAAGGAAGCCCAATAAGGTAGGGACATCCCCCAAAAAATGCTTATGCTTTTGTGCTTTTGGGGTCCCTAATGAGAGCTCCTGCGCAGGCAACATCTGCCAAGCTCTCCAGGCCATGCCAGACCAGTGTGAAGCGGACCCTTAATCAGGACCCCTAGGTATATACCCTGAATATAGCTATTATATACCCATTATATAGCCCATTATAGGGTAGGGGTCCCCATTAAGGGTCCCTCCTTGTCCCCTTTGAACAATTTGATCCAGGCCATGCCAGACGAGTGTGAAGCGGTACAAAATGGGCCGCCTTCCAAGAAGATGAGCGGCAGATCCCACACAAGTTTCAAGGTTGCTGGCCGCAGGAATCCTAAATCCATCTAAACCCTAACCCACCCCCTACCTCATAAACCCTAAACCCCTAAACCCAACAGCCCTACAGCCGAAAACCCCACATCCGAAAAACTGAAACCCCAAACCCGATGAAAATCTCAGTCGAGTAGCTCGAGATCGTGGGTTCGCGCACATCTTGACGGCCTCTGCCTCCTGGCATATGAGTAGTTCTCGAAACGAAGGTCCCGTTTCCAGCCCCCCCCCCCAACATAGTACGGCACCCGTATACAAAGGACCCTCAAGGGACCCGAGTTTGCAGAAGGGTTGCGATAAGTGACAAGAAGGGCTACTGTAATGCTTCTAAAAGGGGTTTCGTACTATGTACAAGGGTAATGATTGTTGGGCTTAGGGTTTAGGGTGGTTCAAGTTTGGGGCTTTGAGTTTCGTTTTGACATGTGACTTGGAGGTTGAGGACTGGGATCGACGGCAAGAGGTACTGGACTTAGGGTTTAGGGTCTAGGATTTACGCTTTAGGATATATGGGGTACTGGCGGTCTTTGGGAACGGCAACGTGCAGCGCGACGAGAAAAGTTTTGCTTTGTGTCGACTAGAATTAGCAGTGCTTATGCATATTCGACCTTATTTTAGAGCAGTCGCTGCTATTATTGCGATAATGCTACAAGCAAAATTGAAGCCGCCTCTACACGAAAGGCCGCTAGTTAACTCACAGCCTACACCCTAGCTGGAGCCGCACGAGCCAAGCGCTGCAAGAGGCAGAGAAAGCAACAGCTTAGACAGTGGCGTTTAGGTTCCTGGACCCTTTACCCGGAGCCCTCAAGCCCTGAACCCTCAACCCCAAACCCTCAATCCTCACGCCCTAAACCCTCAAAGGGCCCTAAACCCAAGAAAGCTCCAAAACCCGTATATACGGGAGACCCGTAAAGAACCCGTCGCAAAAAACCTCTGATGTGCCTCCACTTGTGGGATTTTGGTGCAGCTGCCCTCGGAGTTGAACTCCCAGCCGTGGTAAGCGCACCTTCGATGCTGGGCTCGTGTCAGGCTGGGAAGATGGAGGGTTTTGGGTTTAAAAACTTGTGGGATTTAGGTGTTTTTGTGATTTTTTGAGGGGGTGTTAGGAGTTTGGGGGTTTAGGGTTTAGGGTTTGAGGGCTTAGGCACTAGGGTTTATAGGGTTTGAGTCAAAGGGTTTGAGGGCTTAGGCATTAAGGTTCAGGGTTTGAGTCAAAGGGTGTGAGGGCTTAGGGCAAAGACTGTTTTAGGGCCCGCATGGCGTGCCTAAAGCCCTGAACGCCTCAACTCCTACACCCCTCACCCCTGACCAGGTGGGGCTTTTAAGGCTTTTGAAAAATATTAGTAAATAAGATCCTCTTAAGCCCAATAAGGGAAAATATAAAATGTCCCAAAGCCCCACCTAGCTGATCAACTGACCGCCAAATCCCTCAACCTTCATCCTCGGAACTCTCATGGCACAATCCTAAACACCTCGATCCTCTAAGTGACCGCTCATCCGTAGCTAGGCCACCTTAACCACAATTTTTTGGACCACGTACAGCCACAAAACTGTCTAGGGTTTAGGGTCAATAACCTATGCAACCAATTCTACACAGCACTATACACTCCTAACTCCAAATTACACCTAGGACCCAGGAACCTGCCCTAAACGCTCAACATCCAGGGGCACCCGCATACGGTGTGTCAAAGCTCCACCACGGACTGTCTGGGCGCATACAACCAGCATTGGTTCCTCATCTGCGTCAAAACCGAAGTCGCCATGGGCTTTGATGCAACTGCGAAAGTCGCATTTAACCATGTCACTCGCTTTGACGCGGAGCGCTTTTTTGTCAGTGTCACCCGCGGGTTTGTCGTCGGCGACAAAGACCAGAATGTCATATTCAGTGACCTTCACGTCGCTGTCGTCGGTGAGTGTGTCAGGCTCTGCAAAGGGACGGGTGTATCGTAGCATAGCCTCCAAGTCCCATTTCAGGAACTTGTCCTCTTGAATGTTCAGCAGTCCCTAATCCTTTAACCCTAAACTCCGAAACATGTAAACCCTAAACCCTAAACCCTAAACCCTAAACCCTAAACAATGTAAACCCTGTTTCGAAGGGTTGGTGAGGAATGTATCTTAATTGGCTCAGACATGGAACTCCTTGCTTCCCCGCTTCCTGGGGCTGAGCAAACGCAAGAGAAATTCCTCTGCAAGGTCGGTGCACTGGTTAGTTAACACAGACCTCAAAACCCTAAACCTCTAAACTCTACACCCTAAAACTCTAACTCCTAAACCATAAATCCCTGAAACCCTTATTACCCCCAACCTGAGATCCTAACCCTAAAGGCCCTAAGCCTAAACCTTAAATCTCCTCTTGTCATAGGGATCTTTAGGGGTGTAGGGGTGACAAGGGGGGAGGGGTGTATGGGACTATATTTCCTGAAATAGGCCTTATTAGTCCTTATTATGGGCCTTAAGGCCCCCTACCCCCCTCCCCCTACACCCCTAAGGATCCCTGTGATCTTGCTTTCGAGGCTCTGGAGGCACCCCGTCTTCGGCTCGATTCTTCCTTCGGAGAGAGGGGCCAGGCGGTGCGCGCAGGAGTCCAGCATGACCTTTTGGGGAACTTTGACGGTTTACCGGTGAGGGTGTAGGGCTAAATTTAACTAAACTGAATCAACCTTCAACCTGGAACTCTGAAGGTTTCGGGTTTGGGGGTTAACGACCCGGGGTGCGGGTTCTCGGGCTTGTCAATATTCGCAAAGGTTTCTGCAGTTGATGGAGTCATAGCGTTTTTACAAGGGTTTGCAGGATTGACACGAGTTTGCGATCGTTTAAGGGCTATCAAGTGTGATATCCCGGGGGCTCACCTCCCTGTATATCATAAGGGATAGCCGCGCTGCATGTGTCTAAATATGGGATAGCCGATAGACTGCCGAGGGATCCTGATTGGGCTCTCTGGATCTGGAGATTTATCATACACCGTTCGGGAGCTAAAGTTTAGGATCCGGGCTTCTCATTTAGGCTTCGGGCTTTCGGAGAATTGATGGCGTGGGCTTAGAGTTCGGGGTGTACCTTCATGAAGATTCGAGTTCTCATTATCCTCAAGACAAGATGGGCCTTCCACAACTACCTTCCATCCATGAGTCAAGACGTCAGGCAAATGATTATCATGATCTAAATAAACTAAACCCTAAACACCATATGCCAAAACCCTAAACCGGCAGTGGCCCTAAACCTGAATCGCTTGAACCCCGCGCCTACAGCCTATGGCCTGGTGCCCTAAACTCTGCCTCTTCATACTCTCTCCGGGTTTATTGCGGGAACCTGCTGGAATTGCAGCCAAAACGCCTTCCAGCCGCCATTCTCGTGGCCCTCCTCACCGGGAACCTGCGCATTTCTCATTGCATGGATATGTAGGTATGGTTTTTAGGTCGTAGAGGTTTTGGAGATGTGTTATGACGGGTTTCGTAAAGAATTGTATAAGAGCTCTCCAGTTTGGGCTTCAGGGTTTGGGGCGTTGGGGCTGTCCAGGTGTCGGATTTATGCCCTTAGGGTTGGAAGGGGTTGGAATAAGGCTACAGGGTTTGAATGTAGGGTGCTTGAGAGCTGTAGGCCCTCCAAGGTCCAGGCTTTTGGCATTTTGAGGATGTTAGTGACATGGTGCAGGGTCGATTCTACCCACGGTCCTGTTTCTTGGTGCATTGACTGCCACGATAATGGACTATCGTAAGGCCAGTCCTCATGCAGAAAACGGTTCCACCTCACACAGGGATATTTGGTGCGAGCGGTACTTAGACTTTAGACCCCACACCTCCACAAACCCTCTCCTGCACACCTCAGGCTTCTGAAGAACCCGCTGTTGAAACCATTTGACCGTCGAATGTCCATATCATAGTCATTTCATTGGAGCTCAAAAAGATTCCCAAGTAAATCTTCCGTATAAGATTGAAGCCCTACTTGGGGGGTCCGGGGACTAAGTAAGTAGATAGTAAGTAGACTTATAAGTACCCTGAAAGGGACCCTAATTGGGGTTATGGTACTTATAAGTCCCTAAAATAACCAGTTACTAAGTCCCCCGACCCTCCAAGTAGGGTGCCCCAGAAGCCCTAGCATAAGATACAGTCATATAAAGGAAGGACCATGCAATTTCTGTGGAAGCAGGTCACAACTTACAGTCGGAGCCAGGACAAAGCAAAGCAACAAACCCGAAACCCCCACACGCATGTAATCAATTTCAAACCTACACCCCAAACACCAATCCCTGGACCTTTCATCTGCAGTACTCCATTTCCGAAAGCCCTTTGGCGGATCCCCCAAACATCGCCGCCCTTAAAACCAAAAAATATTCTTATTGACTCCTTGAATTGTAGTTATATTATAAGAAAGACAAAACATAAGTCCTAAGAGCAGGAAAGAAAACACGCCTTGCCTGCCAGACCACGAGATCCAAACCTAGGAATCGGTCCCAGGATCTTCGCTTCTACGGCTGCTGATATGAATCCTGTCTTACCCGCAATAAGGAACAGGGTTTCGGGTTTCATTGGGGTTAGGGTTTAGGGTGTAGCGGGCATTACCGAAAATGAAGAATATACGATAATTCCCACAGTTTGGCGCCATTAAGGTAATGCAGGATGTATATTATCGACCGTATGGGTCCAGGGATTACTTAGGCCACTCTGAGGGTTGAGGGTTTAGGATATAGGGTGCAGGCGGCTTAAGGCTTTGAGGTTACTGGAAGGAGTTTACGCCCAACTGCGGTTCTTCTACTTGCAACTCTCCTTCTTACATACTCACTATGTCCCCTGATCCTCTAAGAACCTCAAGCATAGGACCCCCAAAAAGCACATAAGCAAAAACAAGGATTGGGACATCCCAAATAACCCCCCTATAAGGAAGCACAATAAGGTAGGGATATCCCCATAAAGTGCTTATCCTTATGCGCTTTTTGGGTTCCTAAATGCAGGAGCTTAAGGCTGAGCTGAAAGAAGCGGAGGGCTATCAGTTGAGATGCGACTCCTTTGCTAAATTTCCGGGTGACTGCCTTCAGGGGCCTTAATAATCCGAATAGGTGTTGGGGCTCTCTTTACTGCAAATACAAAATGGACCCCCTAAAATAGTATAGGTATGTATTAAGGCCCCTACCTTCCGAAGCATCAGGCTCAACAAAAGCAACGCCCAAGATACACCAAACCCCTCTACCCCAGCACCCAAGCAGTTCTGAAGAAAAGCTATCTGCAAACCCTAGAACCTCACAGCCCTCACTTGCCAAAATCAAGAGAAACCTAACACGACCCAAGCCGCCATCGATGCGCACGGGCGTCGGTCGCTTGGGATCAAGTTCCAAAGTGGAGGCCACTGGGAACCAATGCCTTCCGGGGGAACAGCCGATTGAATGTCAGGGTTCGGCGCTTACAGAATTTGGCATTGGGGTTTAGGGGTATTGAATTTACGAGTCAGGGGCTTACGAAAATGCTCCTGACACTTATGTACATTGGGCCTGCTCAGAGCTTATGATGACTTACGGAGTTTACGGCTGAACGGTTTGGTAGGTCTGCGATTAGGGCTTGGACGGTAAACACTGCTGCCGATCCAAGTTGCAGGAACATGACAAGAGTGCACTAGAGCTGTATTCATATTGCACGCTTTAGTACTTATACTAGATTCTAGGAAGAACCCCAAGCCCTGAGCCCTAACAACACCTTTCCCCTCTCATTATGATAGTACTAGTACCAGTACCAGTACCAGTAGTAGTAGTTCCGAGTACCAGTACCAGTACCAGTAGTAGTAGTAGTAATAGTAGTAGTAGTAGTAGTAGTAGTAGTAGTAGTAGTAGTAGTAGTAGTAGTAGTTGTAGTAGTAGTAGTAGTAGTTGTAGTAGTAGTAGTAGTAGTAGTAGTAGTAGTAGTAGTAGTAGTAGTAGTAGTAGTAGTAGTAGTAGTAGTAGTAGTAGTAGTAGTAGTAGTAGTAGTAGTAGTAGTAGTAGTAGTAGTAGTAGTTTTAGTAGTTTTAATAGTTTTAGTAGTTTTAGTAGTAGTAGTAGTAGTAGTAGTAGTAGTAGTAGTAGTAGTAGTAGTAGTAGTAGTGGTAGTGGTAGTAGTGGTAGTGGTAGTGGTAGTGGTGGTGGTAGTGGTAGTGGTAGTAGTAGTAGTAGTAGTAGTAGTAGTAGTAGTAGTAGTAGTAGTAGTAGTAGTAGTAGTAGTAGTAGTTTTAGTAGTTTTAGTAGTTTTAGTAGTTTTAGTAGTTTTAGTAGTTTTAGTAGTTTTAGTAGTAGTAGTAGTAGTAGTAGTAGTACTAATCGGGATATCGACTACAAGTGTGGATGGGGTCGGTTTAGGATCTTGGGTAATAATAGATTGCTAGGCCGGCTTAGAAGTACCTCTCCGCACTTTTGCACCGAGCACACGATCACTCCTGACATTTGTCGCTCGCCTTCATCTCGATCGCCATCTTCTGGTTGTCGCTCTCCTTTGGAGCTTGGGTCTCCTTCTGCTGGGCATCGTCGCGATCAGCTTCCGCCTCTTGTAGATCTGTGCCATCCAAAAGGTCCTCGAGTCTCCGCTTCAGCTGTCGTGCCGTTGGCGTCGGCGTGCCCTCAGAGTCGCTGTAGTAGCTGTAGCTGCTGGAGGAGATCGTACATGTGGCCTTGGATAGAAGCCCTGTAGACCCTGGAGATTCAGCCCGTCGTATAAATTAGCCAGCTAGTACGAGACAGAAAAACGGCCACTACACTGCAAGCGAACCCCCGAGCTGAAACCGTGCTTAAAGTAACCGTAGTAACCCTGATCAAAATCTTTACAGAAAGCCATTATCGGCACGTTATGATAACCCTGATAGGAGCCTTACCTCCGTCTTATGAACTTGGAATCCCACCCATCTGTTTCCAAGACTCTCCAAAAGAATATCTAGAGGTAGGTGCAAGGAATCCTCGTCGCCAATTCCCGACAGCCAGAACCCAAGATCGTAGGAAGTCCAAACCCAAAGCTCTAAGATCCCAAATCCCTCATAATACAAACTCCCTCAGAAGAACCCTTGTAAACCCTCGGAACGGAATCCGCTATGAACCCACCTCTCTCGCCACTCTGGAGCCGACTGCGCAGGCGCTGCCTTGAAATTGCAGGCGTTCTGGAGGGAGCTTTGGTGTTTTTGGGTTTAGGACATGTTTGGGCTTGCGGGTTGAGGAGTTTCGTGGGTGCTGGATATGTATGACTGCTACTCCTGCTGCTGCCGCTCCCGGTTTTCTGCGCCTTCTCCTGCTCGCGCCTCCTGCTGCTGCTGCCCACACTACTGCAATTGCTACTGCTACTGCTATATATTACGTACTCCTGCCTCATCAATGATGCGTTTATGGCATTGTTCTTGCGGGCGCTAACTCTTTCATATTGCAGTTAGTTTGATTTCAACGCTTGGTATTGATATTAGTACTTGGATCACTGGTTTTGGCTAGGGTTCAACTTTCCAATTGCAAAGGACAAAGTCGGACAAAGTCTTGCAGCAACTCGAACCAAAGCTTCACTTTCAACTAATGCTTTAACAAGCGGGCATCGTTTTGTAGGCTACGGCTATAATATTGAGTCATGAACATTGGGCTTGCGCAAGAAATCGTGTTTCTGATGGTTGAACCTCCTGTACAGCTCCAGGAAATCAACACACATCCCCTGACCGCCTCGAGGAGACTGATCCTGTGTGAGTTCGATTCGGGATCGATGCCTGAAGCAAGCCATTGCTGCCAGGATGCCTGTGGAATGGGCCGAAGCGTCGTCTTCGTCTTGGTCTTCGTGGCCGTGGCATGCAACCTGCATACGATCACCACAGCTACGGATCTTGGGTCGATAATTGTCTCCTTCCTGCTGCGCCTCGACTAAGGGGAAATGCCCTCCCCTGGATAGCTCTCGCGGCCATACACAACTGACGCTAATGCCTGCCTCTCCTCGGCCGCCATACTCCTCGTACCAGTGCTGCCGCAGCGTCTGCTGCTGCGCTAGTGCTACTACTGCTGCTGCTACCACGACGACGAGGATCACTACGGTTACTGCTGCTGCGCAGCTGCTGCTGCGCTACTGCTCAGCTACTGCTACTCCAACTCTACTTCTACTGCTCCTGCTACTGCTACGCTATACTACTGCTACTACTCTACTACTGCTACTACTGCTACTCCTACTACTACTAGTACTACTACTACTACTACTACTACTACTACTACTACTACTACTACTACTACTACTACTACTACTACTACTACTACTACTACTACTACTACTACTACTACTACTACTACTACTACTACTACTACTACTACTACTACTACTACTACTACTACTACTACTACTACTACTACTACTACTACTACTACTACTACTACTACTACTACTACTACTACTACTACTACTACTACTCCTGCTGCTGCTGCTACTACTACTACTACTGCTACTACTACTTTCAATTTCTCCTACTACGACTACTGCTGCTGCTGCTGCTACTACTACTACTACTGCTACTACTACTCAGTTACTACTGTCGCCACTATGACTACTGCGACGACGATTACCGCTACCATGACTACTAGATTGACCACTATCCCTACTGCGGCGAGAACGATGCCAAGACGTAGCACCAGCAGCAGCAGCAGCAGCACCACCACCAACACCACCACGGCTACCGTCATTGCCAAAACCGCAACCACCACAGCCGACACGGCGATGAGTGCTTTCGCTGGTGCCGCACCTAGATTCCTTCGGCCTGGGGACACACTGAAAACCATGGTCTCGTTCCAGACTCGAACCGGTTAGAAGTTCCTCTACTAGAGTTTAGGGTTTCTTCGGGGTTTTTGGTCTGGTACAGTTCCAACAATGGCAGAGCAGCTTCCGTCACGAAACGTCGAAATCAAGTTCGCCCGGATACGATGGCCTTTACCCGAAAAATCCCCTGGGCTGGCCAAACCCTGATGGCATCTGAGGATCCTAGAACCGCAAAACCTGAAATGCACGTGTGCACGCACGGGCATCCATGTACACATTCATGTACATGTATGTACTTTCCTTCATCCCCCTTCCCTCCTCGCTTTCCTTGATTCCTTAGTTCGTTCATTCATTCGTTCAGTTCATTTGGTTCATTCTTGGTTCATCTAGAATGCGTTCATCCATTCCTTCCTTTCTAGAAGGCTAGTTCATGGTTGGGATTGGTTTAAAAATTGAAAAAACTCTCTGCCTTATTGGGTTTAAGTACCCATAAAAATGTAAAGTGCTGCCCAACTATGACAAAGGAAGGCATCAACCCGTTACTTCAATCCCTCGTCGCAGCATCGTAGTGACTCCTCTCAACCCTGAGTCTCGCCCAGAAACAACGCTGAGTCACCAAAACATACACCCGCGGAGCCACAAAGTACCCAAAGGCCCCAAAGTAATTCCTTTTGGGGGCTCATATATAGAATCCTATAGGGCAATTACTCCCAAAAAGAACTACTTTGGGGCCTCTGGGCATACATCCCCGGAGCCACAAAAACCTTGAGCCGGAGAGCCGGCAGCGGCTGCGCAGGCGTGCAGTTCGCGTGGTCCCGTGGGCAGCGACAGCCGCAGCGGCCAACTTTGGCAGGAGGATGGCTGACCCTAAAGCTCCATGTACCAATATAGTATATACTTGGGTGGTTGTCAAAATTAGGGTCCCTTTTTGGCTATCCTGAATATTAGGTGCCGGCAGGACTATAATAAGGACCCAAAAAGGGACCCTAATTTTGACAACCACCCACTTAGGCCTTACAGTGCCTATGTAGGGACCCCGTTAAGGCTTAAGTATCTACTATAAAGGTACATGGAGCCTTTGGCTGACAAAGCTTTACTGTGCAAACGCACAGGACTTGCGAAATCGTCAGGACTGTCTCTCGCTTGGCAACCAAACGTTTCATGAGGATGGTAGTCGAGGGGCGTAGCCCAGGTCTGTTGTTCCTACTGCCTCCACTTCGATGCATCTTGGGTTCTATGAAACTCCAGACAGGACTTCACGCACAGGCACGAAATTCGAACCTCCATGGGTCTCAAAACACGCTGCAACACTCCTGGAAATGAGGACGATGAAGAAAGATAACAAATTCATGTGTGGGCTCCTTATTATAGTTACAGTATAATATATCCCCAAACCCTATTCTAATTATTAAGAAACTTAGTTTATTCAGAATCCTAAATAAAGATTCAAAAGCTGCTGTCTCCCAAGGAGACGCTGCAGAGCCGGCCCCAGCAGCTGCGGAAGCAAATCCAGAGCCTCGGAGTCAGTTTTCCTTCCATGGCTTAATTGAGGGGCCTCAATAATTAGAATAGGGTTCCTTTAAAGGGTTGCTGAAAGGGGTCTATAAGGGATATATGAGGGTTCTATAATTTAAGGGGCCTTGATACGAATAGGGTTTTGGGGCCCATTATGATACATATGCAATGAGGAACCCCCAAAAAGGTATAGGTAAGTAGCTTAATTCAGGGGCCTTGATAATTAAGGGGCCCATGATGATATTCACCCCAAAATAGCATAGGTAAGTAGTTAAGCCTCTACAATATTGCTTTGGGGTCTCGGGCTTCGGGGGTCGAGGTTGCATGGTTTAGGGCTTTGCATTTGCGGGCTTAAAGTTTACCTATAGTCCCCATTGTAGTTCCTTGTTTTGGTTAACCAAAAACTAAAGTTTAGGATCCTAACCATAAAACTGGTTCACCAAAAGAGGAACTACAATGGAGACTATAGGTAGGGGTGTGGAACTCACGGGTTGGGGAGTGGAATGCTACGCTTTCCAGTCTCGGATTGGCCGAGATCGCGTCTGGTCTGCAAAGCCAGAAGCCGTAGTCGAATGAACGAGCTTTTGAGGAGTTCGTCTGCCGACAAGGACCAGAAGCTTTCGAGATGAAGACACTCGCGATCTTAATTTTTTTGGGGGGAGGCGGGGGGTGAAGTTTTGGGCTGGGTGTCAGGAATGCTTCTTGGACAATATGCCAAAGCACGGGTGGCCTCATTAGTAACTGAACCCGCGATCTCTTCAAGAACTCCGAACCCTTACCCTTCCCAAGCTAACCTTGTACAAACTGCAGAAACAGTCCAATGTTTAGAGTTTAGAGGATTATTAGATTGCCAAAAACAAAGGACAGTGCCAATTTTTCCGGCCGGGTTGGTCTGGGCAGGTAGCAGAAACAGCATTCGGAGCGTTCTTCTTTGACTAACCCCTCAGGGCTGCTGTTCGGAAACCACGTACGTAATGTAGGGGCCTTGACAATTAGAAAAGGGTTTTGGGGTTTCTTATTCCAACTTTGGTATACCCGCCAAGCCTGCAAAAAAGAAATCCGAAAGCCCTTGGCTTTAAACTTTAGGGCTTAAGGGCTTGAGGGTTTAAGGGTTCAGGGTTTAGGGAAACCCTAAAGCCCTAAACCCTAGACCCTAAATTTTACACCGCTACAACCCATAAACAAGGGTCCTTAAGAATTAGAGTAGGGTTTGGGGGCCCATTATACTTCAACTAAAGTAAGGAAACCCCGAATCATACACTTTAGGGTTTAGGGCTTACGAGCTTAGGGTGTAGGGTTTGGGGTTTCGTGTTTACGGCTCAAACCCTAAACCGTGACAACCCATACAGCCCTCCTATTTCCATAGTTCCACCCGGTCGCGGTGACTCGAGGGCGCGCCTTTCGGACGGGTCGTCGCGGCGTGCAAAGAGAGGGGCGCCTTTCGACTCCGTGGCTTCTAGCTTTTTTTTACTTTTTGTTCAAAGGTTCTTAGGGGTTTAGGAGTTTAGGGGTTTAGGGGTTTGGGGGGGTTTCGGGGTTTAGGGGTTTAGGGGTTTAGGGGCTTAGGGTTTAGGGGTTTAGGGCTTTCGGAGTTTAGGGGTTTAGGGCAAGAACACAAACACTTAGAGGTTCATGGTACTTAGTAATTGGGGTTATAAATAAGGTACCTATACTTATAATTGGTTGTATCCCCAGCCAAGGTATTTATAACTGTACTTACTAAGTCCCATGAACCTCCAAGTAACCTCTTGACCACCGAGCCTTCAGCAGGTACTGAAACCCTCCGAACTTCTTAAACCTCCAACCCTATCGCCCTTTTCCCAGCGCCCTTATAGTACCCAGGTACCCTTATAATACCCTTAAAGGAGCCCTTAAAGGATCCCTTAAAGGAACCCTTAAGGGAACCCTTAAGGGAACCCTTAAGGGCACTGAACCTCCAAGGCGAAAGGCATCGAACCCTTGCCAGGCTTCTGGGGCTTTCGGTTACCATTTCGACTTGGGCCGACTTGGGGGTTTAGGGTTTAGGGTTTAGGGTTTAGGGTTTAGGGTTTAGGGTTTAGAGTTTTGGGTTTAGGGTTTAGGGTTTAGGGTTTAGGGTTTAGGGTTGCTTTCGGTTACCGCTTCGACTTGGGAGTTTCAGATAGAAGATGATTCGTCTGATGATAACAGTCCTGCATTACCTTAAGGACCCGAAACTATGGGAAATATGGTATATTCCTTATTCTAGATCATGCAGGATCTATATCATCAACCGTTGTGTGTGTTATAGTACATTCTAGCATACTATCGTGTACCGTGGCATGTTACGTCATATTCTAGTATATTAAAGCACATTATGAGATTTGCGTGATTTAGGGGTGTATGAAGAGGGATCCGACTACTTAAAATCTATACTAGTAGACTACGGTCCCTTGTTTTCTGAAACTCCCACTTCACTAACTTGTAGCTCTGACACGACAAAGGTCTCCGAAGTTAGGCGCAGATGCTGAGCTCTGACGAAATCTTCCGAAAATAGGGTACCCTAATACAGGACCCAAAATAGTATGCTCCTAATTATTTATAAGGACCCCAAAATAGGGTACCCCCAATTTTCGGAAACTCCCAAATGAAACCGTATTGGCCCTTCAATGCTTTCTGGTAGAAATGGGCATCAACATCTTTGCCGCTCCTGCGCTGTGGCGACGCCCACCTCTGTGAGGCACAGACGAGGACGAGTGCTGTTCAACCCGTACTGTAGTGGTTTTATACCTTTTGGGAGTATTTAACCACCATCTGAATGCATGACTACTATGAGTTAGGTTGTGATTATTATGGCCATTACTGCGACTTATCATTAATAGCAGAAGTTCACTTGCTTAAGCCCCTCCTTTGAAAGGAAATCGTGAGCCCTGGCCTGACCTGATGGATTTTGGGACCCCTGTGTCAGAACAAGTCCCACTCAGAGTGAGGCTATGCTACATACAGTAACATAGAAGAAGCGCATTGGCAACAAACAGTCAAGATAGTAACCGGCAGGAACAGTGATTGCAGCGGCAACACCAGTGTCATGCGTATTCACCTCTACACAAAACTTTGTGTTATGTGTGTGTGTGTGTGTGTGTCCGCGAAAAAAGACATTTATATGAACATATGCATAAACATGTACATACACATATAATGTGTGCGTGTGCGTGTGTATGCATTAACATTGTTACATACATACATACACACATACATACATACATACATAGATACATACATACATACATACATACATATATACATACATACATACATACATACATACATACATACATACCTACGCACGTACGTACATACATACACACATACATGCATACATACATACGTACGTACATACGTACGTACATACACACATACATACATACAAACGTACATACAGGTATGAGTGCCATACCATACACCTGTACATACCGTATGTCAGCATACGAGAAGCGAAATTGAGAAGTATGTGTGCATGCATGCATGCATGCATGCATGCATGCATGGATGGATGGGATGGATGGATGTATAGGACGACGAGGATAGCCGACTACCTGCTCGGTGCAAGCAGGGGGCCATCGGGTTGCCGGCGTGCATCGCCATGGCTCCGATTGAAGTGTCGAAACTGAAGTGGGAGTTTCCGAAACTAGGGGACCCTCATACAGTACCCTAAACAGTACGGACGCTTATTATAAGGACCCAAAAATAAGGTAGTCCTAATTTTCGGAAACTCTCAAAAGGACATCCGAAGACACTCTACCGCGACATCCCAAACTCTGCCATGGGGAAGGCCTTCGAGAGTTCTGAGCGATGCTTGGCGACCATGAGGGTCGTGACTTCTAGGCAGTGGGCAGTACATGTACAGGAAGACAAACGCAAAAATGACTGTGCTGGAAGCTGATTCATGAAACCGAGTGCTTGCAGCCACTGCTCGCAACAGGCGGCTTGGGCAATGCAGCTGCGACGGCCCTATCCGGTTCTATCTCTGTGTAGTTGATGTTCTTCTACAAGACATCACTGCCTCGCGACTGAAAAAATGTCCCTAAGCTGAAAGTTTCTGACTGGGGAAACATGCTGCAGCTCAAGAATTCTTCAAAGCAGGGGACTCTATCAGTCGGATCATGAACATGCCTGTTGCAGACTCGGCTCTAGGGCTTTTGGTTTAAGGGGTTTTGGGTGCAGGGTATGTCTCACATTAACATGGCAAAGTCGGGTGTCACAGGCTTCCTGTTCCCTATCAGCCTGATCAGAAGGCTGAGGTTGCAGACTACTGCGCGATTTCGGCTTATGACTTTGGGGATACAAGGAAAGGACCCCGCGAGGTTTGGGGGTTTAGGATTTTGGGGCTTACGGGCTTAGGGTTTAGGGTTAGGAAACCCTAAACCCTATTACCCTAAACCCTGAACTCAGGGAAATGGGCCGTAGGATTTCAGGTTCTGTAAAACACTCCAACTCCACGGCGGGATCCTCAAGGTTGCGGCTCGAGCTTTGACTGCAGATTCCTAGGCCCAATACTGGGGTGTAGGGTTTAGGGGTTTTTTCGGGTTTAGGGGATTGAGGGCTTAGGGTGCATTTAGGGTTTAGGGCTTTAGGGGTTTAGGCTTTGGGTCCCCTTTAGGGGGTCCTGGATATCAGAGTGATACCTTATTCTGGAGATTCGACAGGATGGTTCACAGGACCACCTGCATAACTGATGCACCCTGAAAACCACTACACTTTAAGCCCCGATCCTAGACCACGAAGCCCGCTAAACCCCTAAACCCCTTAAGCCCTAAAAACCCCTGAACCCCTAAACCCCTCAACCCCTCAACCCCTAAACCCTAAACCCCTAAACCCGTACACACTGCCTGCCCCTGCGGAAGGAGGCGGATGAGCTTGGCTGAGCCGAGAAGGACGGCCGCCTGCGTCTTCGAGATCCAGGGCTTCGGGGCTTCGGGGCTTAAGGGTATGGGTTTAGGGTTGAGGGTTTAGGGTTCTAGAGTCCTAGGGATTAGGGATTACGATCCAGGGCTTCGGGGTTTAGGGCTGAAGGGCTTTAGGGTTTAGGGTTCAGGGCTTCGGGGCTTCGGGGCTTAAGGGTCGAGGGCTTTAGGGGTTTAGGGTATTAAGGGCATTAAGGGCTGAGGGCTTTAGGGGTTTAGGGTTTAGGGCATTAAGGGTTTTGGGGGTTTAGGGTTTAGGGTCTTAGGGTTTAGGGTATTTAGGGCTTGGGAATCAGGGCCTTGCAGTTGAAGTGTAGGAGTCGTTAGGATTTAGGGCTTATGGTTAAGGTTTCGAAAAAGAGTTATTTTTTTTTTAACCCCTCCTTTCCGACTGCTCCGAAGGTTTTCGAGTTAAAGGTGTAGGGTTTAGGGCAAGGACCAGTTGCCAGCGTTTGTTGGCCTGCTGACAATCGAGGATGAAATTCTGTGTCATGCTGGAACGAAACCACTAAACCTCAGACACTCAAACCCCAAACCCTTGACCCTAGCAGCCCAAATCCTGAAACTACACTTAAAATGAGGAACCGCCAAAATAGTGTTGGTGGTTATTTAGGCCCCTATATATGACTGTTCCATGAAGGACTCCAGCTTCGGCCCCGAACATTGGGGTTTCACTTGGGATTTTCTGGACGACCCTGGAGCTTGGAGGCCAAAGCACATGGAAAAGATAACCCTAAACCCTAAACCTTAAACCCTAAACCCTAAACCTCAAACCCTAAACCTTAAACCCTAAACCTTAAACCCTAAACCTTAGACACTAAACCGTGTCAAGCAGCCCCTTGGCCTTCGAAGATTTCAACTTCTTCTGGGTTGAATGAGGACATGCGGACTGGGAACCCAGACCACGCCCCAATCTCCACGCCTCAAACCCCAACCCCAAACCCCTTAACCCTGAATGGCCAGACATCTAAACCCTTCGATCCCCCATGAACAAGCGGACGCTCGGTGTTTTGGGAGAGGTTGGCTGCCACGCACCCACAGCTGATGTACCCGCAGCTTCGACGACGATGCCCCTGGACTAGCATGCATACTTAAAGGTTCATGGGCAGATATAAGTGGGGTTGTAGGTAGGGTAACCACCATAATAGGGGACTTACAACTCCACTTATAACTACCCATGAACTCCAAGTACATCTCATTCTACTTAAGATGTACAAGACTCACGTCAAGGAAACCCATAGGTCCCTAACATCACACGCAACGGTTTAGGGTTTAGGGTTTAGGGTTTAGGGTTTAGGGGTTTAGGGTTTAGGGGTTGAGGGGTTGAGGGGTTTAGGGTTTAGGGTTTAGGGTTTAGGGACAACTGCAGCTGCCAGGAGGTCGGAGACATGAAGCAGTGCAGGGAATGTCGGCCTGGAGAAAACGACACCTCCTGCGAGTACTGGTGCTTACGACGAGAAAGCGAAAGCATGTAAATACAAGTTCAGAGCTTCAGAAACTACAGTACATTACTGTCTTTCTGGTTTAGGATTTAGGGGCTTAGGGTTTAGGGTTTAGGGCTTTACTATCTAGGGTCTAAATGACAGGCTGTTGCACAAAAAAACTATACTCCGCTATTCTTCTGCCGCATATCACGGTCTCCATCTCCAGGCTACATTCATCCAGTGTGCGCCGCGGCTGGACCCTGTGAAATCCATATGCAGCATGGTGCACAAAGGCCCGAATACGCAAGAAGCTGAAGCTGGTTCGAGGTTGCGGGAAAGAGGACCGTCACATATTCTTCCAGCGCTTATAGTTGCGTTCAGCTTGGCTCGAGGGGTTGGCAAGATAGACGGCAGGAACCTCGTATATTCAGGCCTTTGCGAACGATGTGCGTGGGTGCTCCGCTGCAAGGCAGCACCAGCATAAAAGAATAACATAGACATAAACCCTATTCAAGCCCTTGCGAGCGGTGTGCGCGCGTGCCCAGCTGCAATCAAGCTCCTAAAACCTGTGGCCTAGATTCATTAGTCCCATGCCCGAACTCCTAAGTCCCTTAGGCCCACACTGGGTGGCCGAGACAGTATCACTAACCGAAGTGCCATAAGCAGCCGCAGCCGTAGCAGTACAAGTCGTAGTGTTTGGCAGTAGTCGTCGTCGTTGTTGCCCTTGATGTTCTTGGTATTGTGTAAGTCTAGGTGGTGTAGGTTTAGGCGCAGGTTCCGGTATGGGACAGTGATGGAGGGTTTTGCTCTCTCTGCTGAGGAGGAAAAAAGATGATGATGATGATGATGATGATGATGATGGCGGTGGTGGTGATCCGGGTCCCGTTGCTGCTGCTGTTGCTGTTGTTGTTGCTGTTGCCACTGCTGCCGCGGCAGTTGCCCCTGCCCCTTCTGCTGCTGCTAGCGCTGCGGCTGTTGTTGTTGTTGTTGTGATAATACTGTCAACCATATAATAGCTATCAGACGTACGATGCGAACTTCAGGAGATTTGGGGCAATGCACAAGCTAGCCATCAGGATGCTTGTAAAGAGTGGTTCGCCGCGATTTAGGGACGTTTAGTTATAGCTGAACTAAGGGCGCATCAAAACGAGAAAACAACCTTAAACAAGCCCTTTTGAAGATGCACATAAAGAGTTGCTGTCGCAGTCATTGGAGGCTGGCTTTTCGCTTACCCTTTGAAGCGGAGTCCAAACGGAACAGATCTGAAGCTTGCTCCGGCCAGGAGTGCTTGGATTCTTCAAGCTTTCCTTTAGGAGTACTATAAGAATTGCTTTGAGGGTTAATGTAAAGGCTAGTATAGGGCTTAAGCTAGCTTCAGGGTTGAGGGTTAGGGTTAAGGGTAGAATCACTATCGGTAATAGCATCTGTCATATTACTTCGTGTATTTATTCTGAAGACCGGCTTGATTTGGATTCGTATAGTTTATGGCCAATTCTTGCTAATTGTTGCTGCGGCTGTCCAGATGAACCCTCAACTTTTAAACTGTAGACCCAAGGCGAATGCCTCACATCTTCCAAGACTGACATGAGGCTAACTTGAATGCCATGCGATTACCACGGTGAACCCTATGCCCTGTGTCCATGTTTTGAAAACAGTCATTAGCCCTAAACCCTAAAGCCCACGTCCATATTGATTCCAGGTAACCAGGCAACGTGAGCCTGAACCCTAGATTCAACAGAGCAGCTTGCAGGTTCGATGGTTTGAGCATTTCACTCTTTTGAAGTCCAGGCATTCGTCAGGTTCGGTGCCCCTCAATCCCAAACCCCTGAACCGCGACCACCTTTAGGTCCTCACGGTGTTCTGAGCTCATGTTGGAAAAGACTTGGCTTTGGCGGCCTGGCCGGCGCCAGCCCAAATGGGTGGTTGTCAAAATTGATGGTCCCTTTTTGGGTCCCTATTATAGTACGGCATCTAATATTTAGGGTACCCAAAAGGGACCATCAATTTTGACAATTGCCCATATTATAGTACCCTTATAGTAGCCCTTCTAGTATCCCTTATAGTAACCCTTATAGACCCCTTTATAGGGGCCCAAATGAGCTTCAACCAGAGGTTGGTCAAAGACTCGAAACCGAAGCTCGGCCGGGGGTCCCTGGCGATGATGGGCTTTCGGGTTGCCAGGGCTGCAAGGGCTCTGGGTTTAGAGGGGTTAATGTAGGAGCCCAAATAATTAGAATAGGGTATTGGGGATTTCTTA